TTCACTTGAATCAGATGATGAGGATCCTGAGAACTTTTGGTGACCACTGACGGCATTGAGTAGGAGCTGAATAATAGCTTGCTTCCCAAGAGTGCCAGTCTTATGCCAGACAGCCGACCAGTTTCTATCAGAAGCAATCTGCTCCAATGTAGAGGGTTTATTTCGGCCTGATATGTTAGAAGTGACCATAACAAACGGCATATCGAAACCTACTTGTGCGTTTTGGAAAAATAGCCCAGCCCTGTGCTGTCGCCGCTTCCCAGAGCTCCTCTTCCTGGGGCAGGGTATTCTGGATCTCATCATCCCGTACTATAGAAGACAAATCAAAATGTATGGAGAAAGCTGTATCCGCTAGCTGCATGACCACGTCAGATGCTGTAATAGCTAATTTGTCCAGGTAAGCACGAAAAGATTTGGGGAACCACTAACCCAGATAGCGTAACCGGTGCGTCGCCTCTCCTCATCCAGAGTCCAGATTTGCCATTTTTGGGCATTTGGAAGCTCTAGCTGATGGATTTTCTGGAGGGATACAATGCTTCTGAAGATCTGACTTCGCCGAGCCACGGTAACTGGAACCGCTTGATACACTTCAGCAACTTCTAGGGCCCTCCGTTCGCCAGAGTATCGCAGCCCCAGTAGGTTGAGAAGGAAGACCCGCATAAGCCACAGCTCCCGGGCATGTACATTCAGATTTTCACACTAGCAAATAAGTGTATTGTCAACCGTAAATCATTGAGCATATAAGCTCACGGACATCGCTTACCAGATGCATGGACTGACGTCTCACCAGCTCGTGCATAGCTCTCGAGCAGGTCTGCGCATGTGGGAGCCCGGAGAATTGAGCGCCGATAGCACTCACGACAAAGATAAGGAGCCAATGCGTGCCCGGTATACAGAAAGACGGCTTGTGCAATATAGGGAAAACGGGATGGAAGTGCTCAAAGTACAGCTGCACCCAAGAATTTATTACCGGCAAGGGTGGAATTTTCAGCTCAGTGAACGGTGGAAAGGTCGGGTTTCCTTGCATGATCCGCGCCACACGATGTACTTCTTCCACCGCTGCAGCAGGCACGTCGTTCACGTGAGCAAAGTTCTCTTCGTCCACTCGTTCTATAGGCAGGCCGCCCATGTCTGGGAAGGACAGCTGCGCATCGATAGTGATAGCAGTTGGGGAATAGCGTCTTGGTTCCATGGCCTCGTCAATTTCCAGAGAGTGATCATGACCGTAGATTTCGGCAACTGCACTTGGTGTCAACGGTTGGCATGGCCGAGCTATCCTCGAGACAGTATTTAAAGGGGGATATGAGGACTCCGTCTCTGCTGAGGCCAACCATAAATCATTCGGACCATCGTTCAATGGAGGGGTCTGCTCTAAGATACCGGATAGCACATTAGCATCGATGTCAAGGCCCAGGAAGCTCTCAAACCCCATCGCATCGGTGGCGAGCAAGGCTGATGTACTCTCGTGCGTAGCTGCTGGAACGTGGCTCGTAAGGTGACTGCCACTTCCAAAGTCCTCCGCGTTTTCCATGCTCCTGACATTTACTGTTGACGTTGTAGGCTGCAGTTGAGTCATTGAATGTATGGTAGGTGATGGTGGTAAAATAATGTCCTCTGGGAGCTGGTTTGATGCTCCTTCGTCATCTTGCTGATCCGGTGCGTGAGATAGTTCCCAGTTCTGAGGTATAGCTGTACTACAGCGCCGTTTTGGGTTTGAAGGATGTGTTGTAGCAGCAGCATTCGCGAGCTTTCGCTTCTGGGGTGACTGGTAAACACAGTCGGCCCTATTTTTCTGACACCTCAGACACGGTTTCTGTCCGTCACAGCGAACTTTGGACAAGTTACATTGCTTGCATGCCTGCGCTACCCGGCGTCGGTCACTGGTATGCGCGCTGCCATTGGGGACGATGTGTTCATGTCTTGTGCCGTGATGACGAGCAAGTGAGTCTCTACAGACTGCATATCAGCTTGAGAGTACTACTCAATTCACAAGTAAACGAGGGCATACACTCGACTGAACTGTTGACCGCACTCGACACAAGCAAAGGGCTTTTCCTTGGTATGAGTGCGGATGTGGCGCTGATAGTGCTCGGGCCGCTGGAATGAAGCATTGCAAGCTTCGCAGCGCCACTGGGTGGATTGCATTGCACCAGATTCTTCTGTAAGTATAGGTTGCGCAGCATCACCTGAAGGACTGAATGATAGGCACTCAGGTAGCATTGTAGTTGCTGTTGCAAGGATGGGAAGGGACTGGAGGCATGGGATTCGGCCTGCTCTTCGGGCCATCGCCGCTAATCCCGAACAGGACTCCACCCACTTCCTCTGTTTAACCCCCGAAGACTCCACATCTACCCTCTCTTTCTTCCTCTTCAATTTCTTACGCGAACCTGATACAGTATTTCTGTGCAGTTCCTGGATATCTATGCATGGGTTGTGGTATTAAGCAAACATTCAACAATTCTATTTAGTACATAGGCTTATTGGGCAGGACCAGAAAAGAATGACAGACTATGAGCACTCGGGTCTGTTGCAGTACTTTTAAAGAGTCACGATGCATTAGGCGCTCACTTGAGCCGCCCGGAGAAGCTGTTGAGCTTCCCGACTGGGGTACGACCTCCAGGTGTAGGAAAACATATCCGGAGGCATCTCGGCATCGGGCACATAGGTCCTCAACTCGTCTAACATCTGGCCGCGGCGATCGTCGCTTACCTTGGACATCAGCATCACCGTTACGGATCGCCCATAGCGTACCTTGTTATACAGTTCCAGTCTGCCCGGGATGTCATCTTTGGTACATTCGGGGGTGATAAGGGCACCCAGAGCTGCTCCATCTTCAAGGCTCTGTGCACCGCCTTGTCCCTGGTCTAAGTCATGATGTAGTTAGCATTGGGCGCAGCATAAGCCCGGAGGCACCAGAAACTCACGAGGCAGTGTTGGGTGGGCCGCATCTCCGATGAGTGCTAGCTTGCCACGGATGAAGGTGCGCGGCGGAGAACGAGACGCCAAGCTCCAGAGCTTCAGGTCTTCTGCCAACTTGCACATTTCTTGAAGCTCAGGGCTGAACACACTGCATGTTTCAAGCAACGAGTTCAAATTGCCGCTGTCTAGCCAGGAAGACTCCCTAGCGCTAGAGTCGGCTCCTGAGGGATGGATAGCGGCGATATTGAGCAGATCGCCATGACGACAGGGATAGACGACTAGTCGGCGATCCTCCGTGGTGAAAACGTCCACAGCGTCCGATCCCATCTTTTCCAAAAGAGAGGCAGTGAGAGGGTTGCTTTTCATCTTGGAGACAGGGATAAGGAAGCGAAAGCAGTTCTGCCCTGTGCTTTCCTTCTTGGTAGGTCCACCGATGACACTGCTAACACACCGAGACTAGTAGAATAATTTAGTATACTAGACATAGGTTCCACAAAGGGCGTCGTTCGTACATGCATGCCATCCGCCCCGATGATTAGGTCACCAGTGTACTTGGTACCGTCCTCGAGGGTTACCACTCCAGCCTCGGGATCCTATCAATTATCTAGGTGAGTAACTTGGAAACATTGAATGAAGCAGAATATATACTGACCACCGAAGCTACACGAGAACGCAGGTGAATAGCAGGCTTCTTGCCATTGACCTCCTTGGCAGCTAAGCCTCTAAGGGTATTGTGCAAATCGACTCGGTGTGTGAGTAACCACTCATCGTAGATACCCAGTGCTTCCTGGGTGTCCTTAGTCACCTGCATGATTATTAGCCTTGATCGACCATCTCACCCTTTATAAAAGCACCTACAACTGGGATGTGCATAAGGTTTCCTTGGTGATCCCACAACCGCATTTTGTTGCAGTGGACCGGCTGCAGGTCCTCTAAGCTGCATCCCCAATCTTTGAGAATGCGCGTGGCATTAGGCGCCATGTGAATGGCAGCTCCTACTTCATTCAGGAAGCCGGACTGCTCGAGGATCTGATGAAGTCAGCTCCACTCAGAGTTGAGCAATAGTGTAGCCCCTGTTGACACACCTCAATATCATGACCTTGGCGGTTCAACGCAATGGCTGCGCCCAGACCGGCCAGGCCAGCACCAACCACGACAATCTTCAAGGGCATTTTGAAACAGCACTTGTATTGAACAGTTTTAGAGTAAGTTGAAGTATAGCGGAAAGCATTATACTGTGAGTGGTCTTGTTGCTTGCTTTATATACGTGGTTGAAACAAGTTCTCGGCCAGACCACTCGGCATCTCTCTTCGGTCTGCCCACAGTAGCCGATCGGTTCTTGGCTGAGCATCAAATCTTTGTAGGGTAGCTCCACCAGAGAGGAGAACCAAGTGAACCGGTGTTTTGCATTTGTGCTATGAAGTCATGAATTATCATTCGCATCTTAAATGCTAAACTAGAGTGTGTGACTGCATCCCTTCCGTGGCATTGGGTAGAAGCCGCCGTCTGCAGGGCTCGGCCAGACTTGGACCCTTATTTCACGATCTGCGGGTCTGGCTGACAGGTCTCTTTCCTCTTTTCTCCTGGTAAACCGATTGTAGCAAAGGCTGGACGTGACGGACGGTATCGGTAGACCAAACAGGTTTAAGTCACCAATATTTTCTCCTTAGGATATAAGACTTTCTCTGGGATAGCATCAGATTTTGTTCAAAGTATATGCCGGATTGTAGGAAATATGATTCTCACAACCGAGCGGGCGAGCCAGTGATCATTATGGAGTGCCTGAGGTCCCCACCGGGGTGAACCACAGTAGTAAGTAGGCACTTGATTCCCCGCATTTCTCGGGATCCCGTACCAACTCGAATCAATGTAAATCGCGGTTATATATGCTAGAATTGGGATCTGCCGAACTTTGCCATCTAGGTTTCAGTAACTTTGTGGAAGCAGGGACTAGCCGGAGTTCCGTTGGGAAAGCCGGGGAAAGATGATGGCAGAAGATGGCAAATGATGGGTCAGCCGATAAGGGAACTCCCCTCACCGACCACCTCATTCCATCTGCTGCTTCCCCTCACGGTCCCCATTCCTCATTCATCTGCCTGCAGCTCTCCCCCATCTTTCTTACACCTACTCGTCTGACATCCATCAGCCACGAGGAGGAACTGCGCTTGTCCATTCCTCACTGGCTATTCGTATCAATATTTACTGTTCAGGAACAGTAATGCACCCCCTATCTTATCACTACTTGTCGATCAGCTACTGACCCTTCTTCGGTGCAGGTGACATGACCATCCGATCCATGAAGTTCACTCCAGAGTAAGCCATCACGAATACCACCACCAGAGCTCACTTCATCGTCCAATCCCGATCTATCACTTCTCATATGCAAACCAATAAAGCTAACCTGTCAGGGTTCTGCTCGGAGCCCCTAGGCGCTCCGGACCAGTTCCGAATGCCTCAGGCACCCTTGCCGTCTACACCCAGACAACCTACTCGTTCGAATCTCACTCCAAAACGAACGAGATCCGCGTTCTGGATATCGCCACTGGCCGGTCGGCTCTGATCACCAACGACGCTGGCGCCAGCTGTCCACAGTGGCTGGGTGACAGCAACCAGCTGGTTTGGCTCAAGGCCAAGGCAAACGGCAACACCAGCTTTATTGTGGGGGATGCACGTGAGGCAGACAAGACGTACACGGCGGGAACGGTCCCTGGCCCAGTTTCCGATCTCAAGGTCACGGTCGTCGAGCCGGGCAAGATCGGCTTTGCTGTGACTGGTAAGGCGAACCCTGATGGGACGCTTCATAATCCGCATGACGCAAAGAAGCCAATCAGCACCGGGAAGCTCTTTACGTCGCTCTACGTGAGACATTGGGACTCCTACATCGAGCCGCAGAAGAATGCCATCTGGTATGGCTTGCTGCAGCGCGCCCCTCTGTCGCCAGCTACCAGACAAGCGGGCAAGTACTCCGTGTCAGGACTGACGAACTTGATTTCGGTGAGCGGTCTTGCGGGTGTCGAGGCCCCTATCCCGCCATTCGGGGGCACCGGCGATTTTGACATCAGCCCCTCAGCAATTGTCTTCGTGGCGAAAGATCCGGACCTTAACCCTGCCACGCACACCTCCTGCTCCTGCTACTACTGCCCTATGTTTTCATGGACCGGTGTGAACGCATTGGAGGCCAAGGTCTGCGCAGTAAAGGGACTCGAGGGGGCCATGTCTTCACCGATCCTGACTTCGGATGGCAGCTCGATTGTTCTTCTCGCCATGCGCGAAGACGGTTACGAGTCGGATAAGAGACGTATCTTATATGTGCCGAACCCCTGGAACGGCGAAATGATCGAGGTGTTTGCCTCCACAGACGGAGAGGGGTTGTGGGATTCCAGCCCGTCTGGCCTGACGTTCTCGAATGACGACCAGTCTTTGTTCATTCAGGTCGAGGAGTATGGCCGTGGCGTGTTGTACCAGCTTCCTATGGCTGATATTCGCCATGCGACTCCGGACAAGCTAAAGAAGATCACTGATGCGGGCTACGTCACCGACGTCTATCCCGCATCTAAGAAGTCGACAAAGCTGCTCATTTCTAGCACTAGCTTGGTGGATAATAGCGTCTGGTCCATTGTCGATCCCGAGTCTCCCAGCGACATTCGCGTTATCTCCTCCATCGGTCGCAACGGTGCTGTCTTCGGACTCTCGCCCTCGCAGGTGGATGAGATTTGGTACCGGGGAGCCAACGACACTCCCGTCCATGCCTGGGTTGTGAAGCCCTCCAACTTCAAGCCGGGGAAGAAGTACCCGCTAGCTTACTTGATCCACGGCGGACCCCAGGGTGCCTGGTGTGACCAGTGGAGCACGCGGTGGAATCCGGCGGTGTTTGCTGAGCAGGGCTACGTGGTCGTTACGCCCAATCCCCGAGGCAGCACTAGTTACGGACAAAAGTTCACGGATGAGATTCGTGGCAACTACGGCAGCCTGCCATATATAGATCTCGAGAAGGGATTCGATTATATTGAGAATAACCTGGAGTACGTCGACACATCCCGTGCTGTGGCGCTCGGTGCGTCATTTGGTGGCTACATGGTCAACTGGATCCAGGGACACCCACTGGGCCGACGATTCAAGGCTCTGGTGACCCACGATGGAATTTTCAGCATGACGTCGATGCTTTCCACCGAGGAGCTCTACTTCCCTGTGCGGGATCTCAAGGGGCCCTTGTGGAAGGTCCCTGAGAACTGGGAGCGCTGGGACCCGTCTCGGCACACCGCAAACTGGCAGACGCCGCATCTGGTGATCCACAACGAGCTGGACTACCGTTTGACGATCGCAGAGGGTCTTGCTGCCTTCAACGTGTTGCAGATGCGGGGAGTCGAAAGTGCATTTTTGACTTTCCCGGACGAGAACCATTGGGTGCTCAACCCGGAGAACTCGCTCATGTGGCACCACACCGTGCTCAACTGGATCAACAAGTATGTGGGACTGCCGCCGGCTTCGCGGGAATTTGCAGAGTTTAGCACGACGAAGCAGACGTCGATGGAGCGACGACTCCAGCAAGTGACGTTGGATGGGGCCGCTAGCTGAACACTGGTTCTCTATAGATTAGTGTTTAGTAGTATGTTCAGCGGAGTCAAATACGAGGTCATATGCTCATCTAGCAATGCTTTGTCGGCATTGTCCAATGCCTTTATAGTGCTATAACAGGTGTAGCTCCTGTTTCGCACTACACCATACGTAGCTACCAAGCGGATACAGACAATGGAGCAAGGTGAGGCGGGAAATACCATCTCTTTATGCAACAATGCGCCCACAAAGACCGGGTGAGGCTATTGTGCAGAGACAAGGGGCCGGCGACCCCCGTTTCAAGTTTTTATAGTTACTTTCAGAGTACATTGTAGATGCAATCAACAAAGCAGTAAAGGTATATAATTACATGTTGTTCCTCGAAGTACCACTATCCAGGAATTCAGACAGGCAATATACTACCAACTTAGTTAGTCTGTTGACAATGAGCAAGCGTCGCATCTCAGAAACCATATCACCATCTCCAGATCCATCACCGGCAGTATCCCCAGCAGCAGCATCAGCACCAGCACCAGCACCTAAACGACGCCGAATGCGACGACAACACCACAGACAGTACTTATCCGTCGACCCTCCATCTCCGGAGGACTACTACCACGCGTCACCAACTACAACCCCGGTATCACCTACTATCCCACCTGCACCCTCCTCCCCTCCACCACCGCCACCACAACCATCCTCACCACCACCCCTACCCCCAAGAACAACCCCGCGATACCGACACATCCTCCCCAAACCAGCACCTACCTCCACTTCCACCCCTAAACCCCCTACACACTCACCTCACCCACACCCCGAACCCCCAAAAGGAACCCCCAAAGGGACCCCCCAACCTCAACCTCAAGCTCGAAGAAAGAGTGGTAAAATCCACCCCCACCTCCCCCCCATCCTCCACCACCTCCGCACACCCCTGCACCCACTCGTCTCCAGCACAACAGGCCACGAACACCCGGACTTCCCTCTCTCCTTACTACAATACAACCTCCTCACGTCGGATCAACTCGACAGACTCGCTGTGCATTTTCATCAGGTGCATCCGCCGGTGCGTGGCTCGTTCTGGTATCCGGTTAGGATTGTGCCGTGGCTTAGGTGGGATGATGATAGGGGGTATGTGGATATGGATATCGGTGAGGGTGTGGGTGTGGGGTTGGAGGTGAAGAGGAGGAGGTTTGGGAGGTTTATTGGGTTGAGAGGGTGTGACGGGGATTCACATCGTCGTTCTCGTTCTGGGGGTGGGGGAGGGAAATTGGGGAGGGGGAGAAAGAGGAAGGGGAGGAGGGAGGTGGAGGTGGAGGTTGAGGTTGAGGAGGGGGAGATTAGGGAGGAAGAAGTTGTGGTAGATGAGGAAGAGGAAGTGGAAGAGGAAGAGGAAACAGCGGAGGAGATGTTGGCGAGGATGGAGAGGGAGTGGTTTGAGGCGATGATGAGGGCGAGGTATGAGGGGGAGTATGCTATGAGGTGGAAGATGGGGAGGGGGTGAATTTATCATTAACTGTTATCTAAGTTCGTTGGTTTTGTTGTTGTTTGGGGGTTATAGGGTTATAAGCGTTATGGTGATATCATTGTTGAGCTAATGCCCCATCCCTCTCGCCCAATTCTCCTCCACAATTCGCCAATACTTCTCGCGACTGTGCATTCGGAACGATTTCCCCCATTTGATCATCACCAGGAATACTGCTGCGCATGTCATGCCTACGAATGCAGCGGATATAAAGCAGTTTTGGTATCCAAGGTGGTTTACCCACGGTGTGATTCTATTCCAGTTAGCTTGTGAAGACACCGACGTGGAATGATAGGGGGGAATACCCATAGCCCATGGCAAACGACATGGTGTTCCGAACCAAGATCACGCTCGCCATCGCATCGCCGCTTAGCTCTCGGTAGCTGTCGACCAGGTAGTTGACGCTCAGCGTGATGCCGCACGTGTTTGCCAACGCCAGCAGACACATCGCTACGATGAGTCCGAACCAGTGCACTTCATGCGCGGCGCCAACGCCCCAGAGCAAGAGAGATCCTGGCACGAGGAGAAGACAGATGGCGAATGGCCACAGGCGCTGCTCGGCTTCCATGACTCCGTTGTTGCGTCGCGCCAGTCGGAGGGTGAGCCAGTCGCTAAAGCGGCCGGTGAAGAGGGAGCTGTTACTGTTAGTTGGTTTATTATATACTTGAGGACATTCCGGAGAACTCACGCTAGTATTGTACCCACAATGCAGGATAGATAGCTGAGTCCGACCATGGCAGAGCTATGAAGGTTAGCATAATGCATGATTTAGAATGAAGCAACTGACCTGAAGTTATAAGGCGCGCCGCCCAGAATAATAGAAGCTGTTCCGTTCAGCACATTGAACCAGATAAGGTATGAGCCATAGGAAAACCTGCCATGGTTAGCTATATAAAGTTACTGTTGCAGCAAGACATACCCCGCGTAGAATACCACCGGCCAGCTCAGATAGTACAATGTGTGGTAGAACCGGCGGAACATATTGTTCCTCGGCAGTCTGGGCCCTACAAGCGAGAGTTTCTGAAGATATGTCTTCTTCGGATATATCACCCCGCATTCTGTGTCACTCTGCTGTGCCACATCAGCAGGGCGTTTCTCCTTCTCACCCTGCTCGGACGTGCGCGAAGAAGCTTCTGTCGAAGTCACCTCGGCGACTGATGGCTTCTCGCGCACGTAGTTCGTCTCCTCCATGAAGAAGAACAAAAATACAATGCTGAAGGCGCAGAAAATGCTGGGCCAGTAGAATACCCATTGCCAGCCTTGGTACTGGGCGATGAAGCCGCAGATGACCGGGGCAAAGTAGTTGCTGCCTGCCAGGAAGAATGCATATAGCGCCATGTATGTTCCCCGCTCATGGGTGAAGTACTGAACTGTCAGCTTCGTCTGATAGTACGGAATCCGATGGACTCACCACATCAGTTACAGTTATTTCTGGGAGGGCTTCAATGGGTGCCGTGAAGAAACCCGATAGGATACTGCGCGCGATCCATTGACCGTTGGTGTGGATGTAGGGACTGCCAGAGTCAGTATCAACATACGCCTATCGCCAAATGTAGAACGTACCCCCACATCGAAGTGCCCTGTAGAACACATTAGTTCTGGTAGTGGTGAGTTTCCAGGGCACATACCAAAATGCCAACCAAAGAAAGTATATATGTCAAACGCTTGCCGTACTGCAGCGCCAGTGGCTGCCAAAACAAAAGCCCCCATCCGGCGAACAGAAACATATACCCCGTTCCCTCATTGAGAGTATCAACCGACACACCGGTTGCATCGGAGAGCTGCGTGAGCACGGAGTAGACGACCGAACATGCAATACCAGCAAACAGAGTATACCTGCAGGTCCGATGTTAGTCCCCGCATCCACTAGATCAACCTAATAGACTCATCCTGCAGACATACACGCTCACACAGATGGTAGACAAGGTCTTCCTCCACGGGGCCCAGTTCAAGGGATCATCGGGATCATTGGACGGTTCCGGAATGAGAACGATGTCACTATCGCCGCGATCCGCATGACGGGTGGCAAGGACATGCTCCAAATCCACCAGCGTCACGGTCCCCGGAATAGCAGTCCGATCGAGGCCTGGAGTCATTTTGTATATATTGGATTAACCGCGCAAGTCATTCATAAAGAGAGGAGAGGAGGATAGAGAGTGGGGAGATGGGGAGGAATGAAAGGAATGTAACGTCAATGACAGCAGCAGGCGAGGTGGTCGAAGGCTGTTTATCAGAAATACTCCGAAAACGACCATCACAAATCCAGTCAAGTCAAAGCGTCGGCAAATAGCAAATATGCCATCCCCGCTGCAAGACCCAATCTCTAGCAATGCTAGTAGATAAAGAGTAAGTCCATATAGATATCCGTCAAAGGTCCACCGGCCTAGCTGGTTCTGTTATCATCATCCAGCAGATAAGCAGGCGGAAGACATTCCGTTGTGCAGCAAGGAGACAGACAGACAACCGCTCAATTGTTGGCTCTGAATGACGCTCTGTCCAGCTGATAACTAAAGAAGCCTGGGATCCACCTCTGCTATCTCCTCCAGCAGATCAATCCATTGATGGCAGCTGGATAAGTTGGATAACCACCCGTCCGGCATGGAACTTCCCCGCGCAGGGCCCATTTAACTCCATCCAGATGTCATCCATCGCTAACCGGTTTAGCTGCTCAAGCGAGGCGCGGGGCTGTCGGCAAATCGTATCTCGCAGGCTGATCGGGAATAGCCTAGGCTGCTTTATTGCAAGTCCAGGAAAAGACCGTTGATAGCAGATGTTACTGGTGCATCGCTCCGATCGTTCTCTTCGATGGAGACAGATGTGATGCTCACGGACTTACTCCGCTTTAAACATGCCCCCCCTCCAGCACGGATCACGCTGGACAGAGCCATGGTAGTCCTTGTGCTCCGTCGGGTGGACTCACCTAGCTATCTTATCAGCTGTGTTAAATAAAGACCTGATTCGTACTTTCTCAATGGGGATCACCAGGCTAGTTGGGGGTGCTCCTACTTTTAGACCGCATTCCGGGATATGTGGTGTACCGGAATCATTCTACGGATGGGCCAGAACAAGCCCAGGTTATCGTCAACCCATGGACGCCCCCAGATCTTACCAACGATACCAGGGATTCTCCAATCTGATCATCTCTACGCCGAGTTGGGCCCCAATAACCAAGGAGGAATAGAATCAAACTGCCGCCTGCAGCTAATATTATTCTGGTATCAAGTTCACGAATCTGGAAACCACAACAGAGAATCTTAGATGACAATCCCAAATCACCACAGACAGAAACATGCAGGAAGAGAAAATGAGGTGATATGTGCAGATCTGGCTGGTATAATACAATCTGGCCAGGGCCAGACAATTCCGCACGTAGTTCAACCAACAGGAACAGGCCCACCAGCTGACTCACGACAGGACTCAAAACAGGTAGACACTGCAGCCCACTAGCTTGAACCACTGGCAATGTCATCCTCCTCGGGAAGATCCTTGATAACGTCTTTCAGGATCTGAATCAGCTCATCAATGTCAGGCCGGTCTGCAGGCTCCACCTGCAGGCACTTGCGGACCACGTCCTTTACGGGCGCGCTGATCTGCATCGTGTTATCTTTGCGGCTATCATCGCCGCCGGCCTTGCCCTTGCCCTTGGTCGCACTCGATTTCTCATCGGGGAATCGCCAATCACCGCCCAATACACACATGCTCAAGCTGCCACCTGTCTCTTCGCTGCGGGCTTCGAAAGGGCTCTTGCCCACCAGACAGGCGTAGAGCGTGCATCCTAACGACCAGATATCCACCTTTGTATCAATAATCGAACCCGTCTTGACGTCGAACAGTTCGGGTGCCCGATACGGCATCGTGCTGTGTTCCGCAGCCGTGTCTTGGACGGCCAAGGCGAGCGACCGGGAGGTGATGGCAATGGGGCTGGGTGCTAACGATCCGAGGTCCATGAGAATGGGTGTACGGCCATCATCGGCGATCATGATGTTTCCTGCAAGCAAACATTAGCGCATAGTAGCTACAATAGAAGCAGCAGCCGTACCGGGCTTGATATCCCGGTGGGCATACGGGCGAAGATCGCCGTCTTGCACGCCCTCCTGACTTATTGTGACCTCGTCATCCATCAATGGCTCATTCTCCTCTTCTTCATCCACATTCTGGCTGGTGCGTCGCTTCGGTTTCGGCATCCGCATGGCAGTGTCCGCGTCTGCCTCTGCACCCTCTCTCCTCACGGCTTTAGCCTTGCGTGTAGGACCCGTACCGCTTTTCACACGGTAGAGATGCATCGCTCGGAGCGCATTGGCAACGCCGAGCATCAGCACCATCAAGCGCTTCTCCGGGAAGCGGGAATGGTTAACGAGGTTCGCATTGATGGCATCTTGTAGGTTACCCCGTTGGTAGTATGGCAGGAGGATGTAGACCGTCTTCGATCCTGCGTCGCCGCCATCGGCGCGGAATTTCGAGCCGGATTCGGTGGACACACAGTGGTCGATGGAATGAATGATGTTGTTCTGAGTAGTGAACAGATTGTAGGCCTCCACTTCCTTCAGCGCTTGGGAAACGGACTCCTGACCGAAGGGACACCGGATCTTCTTTAGCGCGAACAGTTCCGAGGTCGACTTGTCTTGAACGAGGTAGACATAAGAGAAACCACCCTAGCATGATGCGTTGATCGTCAGCATCGCGCGTTCCCGGTGTTGTGCAGTAAACCATTAGCCAGAGGCAATCATACTTCACCGAGGAGTCGGAGCAATTTGAAGCTACGATTGTTGATCTTTAATTGCGGCGTACTGGGGAAACAGCACATGCAATCTGTGAAGTTATAGAGAAGATCGAAGAAGTATTGCGCCATGGTGGATGGAGGAGCACGCCGGTGTAAAGAAAGCTATTCACAATGCAGCTACAGGAAGCTGATTATTGAGCCGCGATAGCTGTAGGGACGGGGTCCCCGTGGCGACTAGGAGGTGACTACGCGGCACTATCGTTCTGACGGCTGGGATCCACCCCGGCGATGGCGCAGGCGCACAGGCAGCAGAAGAAGCCGGCGGAGCAAGGGAGAGGGGAAGAGCAAATAATCCGAGGCCCTTGAGCAGATGGAATGTACAAAGTAAGGTCTGGCGGAGGAAGGGAATGAGGATGAATTGGAAAGGTCGAAAGAAGAGAGAAGAGAGAAGAGCGTGAATGAATACTTTAGAAGCCGCGTGTTCAGACCGTAGTCGATATCCGTGGACTGAATTGAGGCGGAGTTAGTGAGTGAGTGGATGCAATGAGAGCCAGTCGATGATGTGGTGAGATGAAGAACCTGAGGCATGAAAAGGCATCCACTAGTCATGCGTTAGTCAGCCCGCCAAGGAGCTGGTGGTAACTTACGTTTTTTGTGGGTAATACATACAGTATATACTGATACAGAGTACTCTAAATGCATGATATAGCATGCTTAATGCAGGTATGAGCATGTATTCCGTAAATACATAACCGCCATTCGGGCCGGTGGGGCAGGCCACCCGCCGAAAGAAGCAACCCATGGTTCGTGTGTTTATTGTGGCCGAGGCCGCTGCGATGCGAAGATGGAAGAATAATTGGTCTTCGATGACCAACTGTGACCAACTAGACGGTGTGAAAGGGTCCCCTGTCCCTGCTAGCATGACGACACACCACTGGCCGTTCAACCTTAGCAACTGTTTTGCCTCTGTATTTCACTCCCTGAGGCAGTGACTGACTGAACAATTCAGTCTCTAGGCCATCTCTTACTATCCACCGGACGGATTGGCTCTTTCTCTTTTCCGTCCTTCGCTGCCCAACTGAGGCAAACGCTGGACGGCATAAGGAAACAAACCCTCCGAGCCTCTCCTCCTCGCAGCTGAACCCCAGCATCCAGCAAACACCATGACGACTGGCCTATGATCAGTCACCTCTCCAACCTCCCTACTACTTCTGCAACCACCCCTTTCTAAACGCATTCCTTAAACCCGGCCGTCGCAGTTCTCTAAAAGCCCTCCCCCTCCTTCGTGCGGTATAAGTCGACTTCATTTCCACCACCCCCTCTATTTAGCGCACCACCAGTCGTCTCCCATCCCCTATCGCCATGGCGCCCCTCGACGACGTCCAGGTGGGTGACCTGGTCAATGTCCCCGGGGGTATGTTTGGGACGGTCAAATATCTGGGAAGTGTTGCGGGCAAGCCGGGAAAGTTTGCAGGCATTGAGCTGGCGCCGGAACATGCCAGACGAGGGAAAAACAATGGAGATGTCGAGGGCAGGAGATACTTCTCTACGTCTGTCCCCGGCTCAGGGATCTTTGTGCCTATGAACAACAACAAATACGTCACCAAGCGCTCGTCTGGTCCGACCTCGACAGTGAGCACCGGCCCTCCAACCCCCTCCCGACCGGTCAATTTCAGCAAGTCCGTTGGCCCTGGTCCCGCAATGCGCCCACCACGCGTCCGACGCCCTTCCCTCCCCCGCCCTGAATCTCCTAGAGGACCTCCGCCGTCCAAGCTCACCTTGACCGGGCTACGCACGCCCTCTTCAGCCTCCCGCGCGGCTCCCTCCAGCACCTACCCTCGCAGTCCTATCAAAGCCCCGTCGCGCGCCTCTGACCGCCCTCCCTCGCGAGTCAGTCGGGTGAGCACAGAGGATGATGGCCCGGCATCTAGAGTATCCGAAGTTCAGCAATCAGCGATGGCAGCTGAGGTGCAAGAGCTGAAGGATCACATTAAGAGTCTAGAAAACCAACTCCTAGACCGAGATAAGCAGCTAGATGAGCAAGCTCATACCTTGTCCGACTTCCAAAGAACTCTAGAGGAGCTGGAAGGGTCAGATTCGCTGTCCATCCGAGCCCAGTTGCGTGAAAGGAATGAGAGGATTGCTCAGCTGACGGCCGAGTTTGACTTGCATCGCGCCGACTTTCGAAGCACATTGGATACTTTAGAGATTGCTGCTTCCGAGACGGAGCGAGTCTATGAGCAGCGGCTGGACGAATTGATGCAACAAAATAGAGAGCTTCAGGACCGCGGGGAAGATGTCGAGGCTGTTGCGCGACAGCTCAAGCAATTGGAAGAATTGGTGTCGGAGCTCGAAGAGGGTCTGGAGGACGCCCGCCGCGGTGAGGCCGAAGCCAGGGCAGAAGTTGAGTTCTTGCGCGGGGAAGTCGAGCGGACAAAGCTCGAACTACAGAAGGAGCGGGATTCTAAGGACTCCCATGCAGCCAGTGATGGGCCGCAGTACTCTAAGGAACTGGAGCAGAAGGATGATGAAATCCGTGGTCTAAAAGCAATCATCCACTCCTTGAGCCGTGGCGACCCAGATTTGCATGCGCTGCAACAGAATGGATTTGGAACGAGCCCGCCGAACCATGATCCCGACCATGTGGCTCACTTGGAACAACGTGTCGAGGAATTTGAACGCATCGCCGAAAGAAAGACATACCGCATTGAAGAACTAGAGCGCGAGCTCCAGCAATTGCAGCTGAATGGTGAAACACACGCTCCCGGCTCCGCGGTCTCTTCGTCGCCCAACCACCAAAAGTCCCCCAGTGTCAATGGGAAGCTTACGAACGGCCATGGAATCAACCATGCGCATCGGCTTTCGGATCGCACGGTCGTTCCCCACGACTGGCAAGATTTACCTCCGCATGAGGGACAATATCAGGCCTACTCTACCCGCCACCGCGGTATTTCGGATGCTTCTCATCATCGTCTGGAGACCATGCACGAGTCAGACGGCCGCTCGGAGGACGGTGGCTCCTTGTGGTGCGAGATCTGTGAGACTGGAGGGCACGATATCTTGACCTGCACCAACATGTTCGGCGCGGAGAGTAAGAAGGTCCCTGATGCTGTTGAGGCACCCCATGACGACAGCTCTGTGGATGAAAAGCCAACTCCAGAGGAATCCACGGGTGAACCATCCACATCCTCACATGAAGAGGACGCGACTCCCCAGAAGACGGGTCGTGATGTTGTGATGGAGGGACTAAGAGAAGCGAACTTGTCGGCTTCTTCTTCGACCTTGGGCCCTGTTGGCGGCAAGGAAAGTGGCGTCGTTGACGAGTCTAAGTGGTGTGCTCTTTGCGAGAGAGATGGCCACGAGAGCATTGACTGTCCATTTGATGATTGATGGAAGCGGAATGCCGATGCATGAGATTCATGGCAGCTTAATTACCGGATGGTCATGATGCTACGTGCACCGATGATTGAGATGTGAGTCCTATATGTCGGATTAGTGGACCTGTCATTTCTGGTATTCTTCTGTTCAAGGCGCACTATGTCTAAACACATTTTCAGGATATCCTTCTTTTTGTTCATTCAAAAACAACATAATCATGTTGGCATTTTCTGGTCTTTCTTTTCTACCTTGGCTGTATGAAACCGCATAGCGCGCTTTGCAAGGGTTGCTGATTGTTCAAAGCGGCTGCATTACATTCCTGTGCCACTACTCTACTAGCCTTTTTCTTATTTCTGTCACATTCTTTAGACTGTTTTACTTGCCTGTTTTGGTCACAGCAGCTTCTTGGCTATGTGGCTATTTCTCCATCTTTTATATTCCCCTATCCAGAACTGTGCCTGATACCTCTTTAATTATACATTCGAATCACAATCCACTTTCCACGTATACACTGCCTTGGCAAACACCTAGCATGATACCAGAATTCCCAACCGTTCAAGATATCCCCTGGTATTTAGAAAGCAGACAATAAACACTTTTACACAACTACTATTACATCCAACCAGCCATCCATATACATCATCAACAGGGTATCTCTTCACCACAACAACACCCAACAAACAACCCCTCCTAGAAAAGTCCTACAACTAAGGCTGCACCACCTCCCCCTCCTCATACTTCGACGTCGCAACAACCCCACAAGCCTTACACGTCCTCTTCTCCTCATCGCCCGCAAACTCCTCGACAACCTGCTTAACCTGCGTCCCCAAATCCGTACACACAAACTTCTTCTCCCACACCACCTCTCCGCAATCCTTATTACGACAATACCACCTCATGGCATCCACCGCCCCTTCCTTCCTCGGCTGCTCCATCACCACGCCCACCGTATCCTTGAACCGTACGGGACAGTGCGGCGTGTTCGCCGGTAGCAGGAACAGCGATCCCTCGTGGATCGGGATGTCTTGGAAGGTGGGCGGAGTGGTGGATTCGTCGACGGTGCGGAGGAGCATGGAGCCTTTATATTGGTAGAAGAATTCGGGCGTCGTGTTGATGTGGTAGTCTGTTCGGGCGTTGGGGCCGCCGACTATCATTACTGTGTACCCTTGTGTGGCGGGCGAGGAGGGGTGGTAGACGCAGTAGTTGTTTACGGGGGGTTGGAGGAGGTGAGAGTTGGTTTCGAGCCTGTTGTGGTTTGGTTTAGTTAGTTGTTTTCCATGTCTGTATTTGGGAGGGTGTGGTTTGTGTTGCGTGTGTTTGTTTGTAGGGGGAGAGTAATGCGGGGGAGGGGTAGTGTAGTTAGTAGTGGCGATGTGGAGGTGGATTACTGTACCATTTGGGGATGTTGAGAGCTGGTGGAAGCATGATGACGGTGTTATTTGTCTTTGTGTATAGTATTGTAGATTGATGAAGTGAGAATCTGGAGAAAAACCAAGATAATTGAAGAAAGCAAGTGATTATAAATGCAGATCAAATCAACCCAACCAACCCATCGCATCTATCCGGTGAAGGGTCCTTATCCGTTCCGGAGATAACCGCGGATTAACGCCGCGCTCGGCGCCGGAACAACTCCGCCCCGGCAGATTTTCTCGATTCGCTTTTTGCGGTCCAGGCGAGCATCTGGCGCCGACGAAGATTTTCGATCTACAGATTGTTGATTGACAACGGAGATTCTGCAGAGTCTCCCGTACAGCTACAATGGCGTCAACGTCTCAGCCCCCTCTTCGGTTCACTTCCCACAAGAACTTCGTGTACCGTCTCGTCTTCGCTACGTTGACCGGCCGCACGATTCAAATCTCCCAGATCCGTCCTTCGTCGCCTACGAACCCCGGTCTCGCTCCTCATGAAATCTCCTTCCTCCGTCTCCTGGAGTCCATTACCAATGGCTCCCAGATGGAGATCTCGTACACCGGTACCATCCTTGTTTATAAGCCTGGTCTCATTACAGGCAGTTCGCCAGGCGTGGCCACGAGCAGTGGAGGTGTCGTCAGGCATGAGCTCCCTGCAGGGTGCAATCGTGGTGTGAGTTACTATCTGCTGCCGCTCTGCCTTTTGGCACCCTTCTCCAAGGCGCCCATCAAGGTCCTTTTTACTGGTCCAGGTGTGATCACCTCATCCACCCCGACTGGTGACATGTCCGTGGACAGTGTGCGGACTGCCATTCTCCCTCTCTACAACCAATTTGGAATTTTCAACAACATCGAGCTGCGCATCCTACGGCGATCGAACCCTGGGCCCAATGGCAGAGGCGGTGGTGGAGAAGTTCAGCTAGTATTTGGCCACCAGCTCCGGCTGCCGAAGACCCTGCACCTCATGAACGCCGGTCGCATCAAGAAGGTCCGCGGTGTGGCCTACTCCGTCGGTGTTTCCGCATCCAATAACGCAAGAATGATCGAAACCGCCCGTGGTGTTCTGAACCCACTCGTCCCTGACACCTATATCTTCTCTGATGTGTCGTCGGCGCCGCTCGTGCCTGCCCCCGAGAAGGGCAACCCTTCCGCGAAAAAGAAGATTGGCCTTGGTTTCGGACTCTCGTTGGTCGCTGAGTCGTCTACTGGCTGCTTGTTCTCCGCCGATGTGGCGTCGCCTCCCGCAGGCGGCGAGGCGCCTGAAGACATTGGGAAGCGATGTGCTTACCAGCTACTCGAGGCCGTTTCGAAGGGAGGTTGCGTTGCCCCTGCAGCTGTTCCGACCATGCTGGGTCTGATGACGATGGGATCGGAGGATGTTGGACGAATCCAAGTTGGTCGGGAAGTGATCGCCGAGGAGAGCACCATCCAGCTGGCCAGGGACCTGACCAAGTTCGGTGCTCCGGGTTGGGGTCTGAGAGACGCGAGTGGTGAGAATGAGAATGGGGATGTGATCATCAGTGTGGTTGGCCGCGGCATTGGCAACGTTGGCCGTAAGGTTGCTTGATTGTTGAAGACCCAACATCAGCCTCACATCAACTCCGCGGTCGGCTGTTTCAGGTATTACCGACCTTTTCTGGTCGTTGGTCTGTCCAGTGGAGCTTCAAGGGCCCTGTCACAGCGTGGTTTCAGAGTATGGCCAGTTTGCATCTGATTGCCCAATGTGAGCGCCGGGTACTGCCCCTGGCGACAGCGGTGTATCACGCAGGCGCAAGGGAAGGGCAATGGTTTCATCTCCACTGAGGGGAAAAGCGCAGACCACGTCATTTCTAATAAAAGCTGCATTTCGTCTTCGACCTCCGACTTTTACCTTCTTTATCGCCAAGTTGCATCGCTCACTTGGGTCATGTGCCACGTGGCTGAGATTGGCGCCCAGCCGACAGCTGTTCGCCGCACACCGCAGCCCGGATCTTGGCCTGTTGGATTCCCATCTCCTGGCAGGGCAATCTGATGCTTCGGACTGGCGAGTGGGTGTTCTCGTGAGGCACTTTGTTGTTCATATTTCCGTGATACCCTTTATTTGTTTGGTATGTGGGCTTCCACCTCACCGCTGGGAGCCACTCGAAGATGGAATGGGATTGGCAGTTCGAAGTAGGGTTTGCTGGCTGCGGCCTAACCGACGTGCTTCATGCAGCAAGTTTAAGTTTCTGAGACGAGAATGGATCATCGTTCCTGTACATAGAAATAGCATGAATATAAGATGCTCGGCTCCGTCCTGATTTCTTCCCCGACTTTGTACTCTCTTGACATGATATAACTCCAGCTATCCACACCGTCGCCTTCTCGCCCACCTCATTAGGAACATAGCTCGCCTACGAATCGGAGAATTTGCCATTACGTTGCCAGAACCGTCGATGCCCGTACGCCCGTGACTACGCCGTCGACATGGATTGCGATACCCGATGCTTCGACTTGACGCTCGTCTTTCCGATTCTTCTAAAGCTGACACCAGATCGTTCGTTCGTTTAACAATGCTGTTCGACAGGCAGCCGACTTTGCGAGAGACCGATACCAGATGGATTGTCCAACCTTGACCGCACTTGCTCGTCCTTGGAGTGTCATCCCGACTTGGATGCAGTTTGCCCGCCTCTCCATGCAGCTCGAACCTTCCCGAAGAGGAAGTCGCAGTTCTGCATCTGCTCCTTCCCTGCCGGTGTCTGTATGCCCGTCTTCGGCCTAGTCTCTCTGGCGATAATGACGGCCTTCCCCTCCCCCTTCTTTCTTTCTCTTCTCTCTCCTATCCTTCTCTCTTCCTTCCCTTTCTTTTCTTACTCTCTTCTTCCACTGTCAACCTTCCTTGCCCTTGCTAATCTGCTTGACTGCCATCTCTTCACAGGTATTCCTCGTCGTCGTTCCTTCCGTGTTTCTGCTTCGAGCGATTTTATGAACATGCTGCTTGGGTAAGTGCTCGTTCAGGTCTGGTTGGGCTGACAGCCGTCTAGGCTCTTTTGGTGGGCATACCGAGGGATTTGACCTTGTCTAGCATAGGTTTCATCAGAGCTTCTCTGGTGGTGCTTGTGTGACGGCAAGGCTGTTGGCTACTAACTGAGCAATAAAGCAGGGATAGTTGCGTAACACCTCCTTTCTGAGCATAAGCCGCCCCGTGGGCAGGCCCAGTAAGAGACAGAGCTTGTGAGTCACAGCCAGATGCTTTGCTGTTTCTTATACTGACAGTCACCAGGCTGGCTAAAAACACTCAGCCCACCACGCAGGCTAGCTCCAAAAGGGAAATGCTCTGGTTAGTTCTCTTGCTCATCATATCATGCCTCTCTAACGTAATCAGTGCCTTCCACCCATCCTTTTTCTCCTCCTCATTCCTGGCCACCATCGGCCCTTCCTCCTCTCTTATCTGTCCTCCTGCTTCGATGCCTGGCGCTGCGGCCTTACCCAGTAAGTGACAGAACTTGTATGTCATACCTCGTCAGCACGCTGAGCTCAGAGCTGACTGTTGTAGGCTGGCTAAACATTGTCCGCACGTCAGGCTAGCCTCTACCGTGGATATGTCAGTACTCTTTCACTATATTAAGAAACAGACGCTGACTGATATAACAGTCTAGCACCAGCCTGCCTGCCACTATCATGCCAACCTCTCTTATATGGCTAAAAGGCAGTCATCGAGCGCTGGGATATACCGGTTGAAATCCACAGGGGCACCTAACCATACACAGGAGGGGACATAACCAAGAGCGAGTACCTGCAAAGTGGCAGGCCCAGTAAGTGACAGAGCTTGTAAGTAGTATAGTCACTTATTGCAACTAGTACTGATGGATCTGCAGGCTGGTCAAAACACAAATTATGCCACCCCGCAGTGAAGCGAGGAGAGTTAGCCGATAGGTTAGTGAACCAAAACAGGTTCCCCTACATAGTACTAACCATCTCATAGGAAGACTGATGGTGGTTGGGGATTATTATTCAGATTGACAACTCTGTATCGTCCTGGTCAAGGTTTTTACCCTACGGGGAGTTTTCCTTGGCTGTAACCCGAATGGGAGGATAGAAATCAATACATAAAATTCTAACATCTTCCAATACTTCACCTTAACGTAGCATTATTCTTATGGTGCTCTGTAGACCAACGTAGGCTCAGACTTTGCTACTACGTTGCAATATCGATTTCGACTCCGTCTCAAACATCCATGCCTCGAGTTCTGCGAGTTTGAGGGAATTGACAGTATTCAAGGCCACTCCCTACTTAGACAGCATGGCATTTAATATCCCGGGTCCGATAAAGTCAAACAGCGTGAATGCAACTTGAAGTTAAAGCATGAGCTGAATTAAATATAGATGTAGTAGGATTGAATTGACACATCAAAATTGAATAGTCTATCATCGATTCCAAAGATGAAAATATGACGACTCCACCACGAACTAAGCAACTTCCCATCTTCATCACCGCTACCAAATTAGAGAAGCCACCATATTCGCGGAAGTCTCCACGCACCCATAGACTGATACTTGAATAGCAAGGAGATCAAGAAGTCGTAAAACAAAGATATATATTATCCGGTATATCAACAATATTATGACACTAAGTCTCCAGAAACAAGCCAATTATAAACACAACATTGAACCGAACACAGGGAGACTGAACCCTACCCAGAGTAGCAGCGAGGATTAGAGCCATAGTGCCGATCCTGCGTGACCAAGTATCGAGAAAATCCCACGAAGTACCCAGAAGCCCTACAACGTATTATACCTCCTAGCATACCTTTCCACATAATGACCATTGACATCATCATGGTACTACTCGACGGTGAAATCAATGCTGTGTGCTCCGTCACGGATAAATATACTACTTTTATTGTAGGCTGAAATACTTAGATCACAGCTTAGTGGGCCCAAGCCTCCCTAGACTATCTGGTGATGGATTATAGGGAAATACCAAGAGTGATTATCAGTGGTCATGATTGTAAATGGCTAAAGATCGCTGGTATAGTATTTGGAATAGCACAGAACCAAGCTACGCTATTCCACAGCTTACCACAGCCAGACTGATAGTCAAAGCGAAATAATTATTCAGAGAGCTAAAATCTATGTATGATACCAAATCACATCACCGCAAGGTCTCTCGAAATGGTATTCCCTACTGCCCTACGCCTAGTCCATACTAAATAGCAGTAAGAATACCTTCGAAGTTGCCTCACTAAATAAAGTAAAGCATGACATGCAGCTCCGCTCCCCACGGTATCTAACCTAGTTAGTATTAATTATCAGTATTAGTCAAAAAATACCAAGTCACGCGAGAGCATACGATGCTAAGCATAGAGCCATTTTGTTCAGGAAAGACCAATTCGGTCATGCTCATATTATATAAAGGCTACACCACAGGGGTTATCCTATCACGCAAACTCGGCAATCAGTGCACCGGACCTTTCAAAATCGTTGAGCGAGTCGGACGCCTACCCTACAAGCTAGAGTTCACCCCCTGACTGGCGACTACAACAGGAATAAAATCATTGCACCATACCATGCAACTAGTTGTGATGAAGTCATTGAAGTTACATGGTATGTTTCCTTGATCATTCGTTCTATTCAGGTGGAGAAACAAGGAACATGGAAAGAAACGAGCAAATTCTGCTTCCTAAAACATATTCACCATCAATCTGGGATATACTGAAGAGTTCAATTTTTCTGGGGACTGGCTCGTCCGGAAGTGAATAAGTAGCATGGAGAAGTCAACTATTCAACAAGATATAGTATCTATCGTAAAATGAAATAGAGAACCTCATTTGCCTCAAGGCGGACCTCTACCAGTGTATGTGGAATGAGGGCCGTGTTTTTTGCACTGCGCCCAATAGGATATACAATAGCAGCAATACTGTGACAAATTTGAAGATGGAGATTATTTGGCATAGCTATACTATATTGAATGATATTCTCGTGTCCAGTTGGGTATGGTTGCCACTGAGGAAGCGGAAGGTGCAGGCGTGTCTCTAGCGGCCAGGCCGTTGTTGCTGAGCTCTTTTGAGAATTGGGATAGTTATTCCGGACATTCATTAGCGGCGTATATATTAGAAGAGCAATAGTAACCACTCGTAGTTGCATGTAACTAACGGCAACCCAACCACAGAAACCATGCATCACCTCTCACAACTCTCAATGACTCGCAAATTAAACTAGAACACTATATCCCACGTCACAGTGGGGCTGTTACAAAAGAGTATGATATCCCGAGTCCATTGTGGAGGAAGTAGATGTCCCACTCATCTTATTAGCTGAGGATAACGAACCCCAACCTCGAGACTCAACGAGAAAGCTAAACGCCGCGTACTCTTGACCAACAGCACTACTGAAATGAACGATAAATTGGGCAGCTAGAATACACACACCTCTCCAAACCCCGATCGCTGAGTAGGAAAGAATGTCTGCGCTGAGGAAACAGGCTGTGCCCAAATAAGAATCGCAGCCAACCAACTCTGTGCGCGTGCTGCTCCATTTCTGGGAGGTATAGTCCAATGTAATCTTCATCTAAATCTGTGGAAACGAGGCATTGGACGAACATGCAAAGGAAACTGCACGAGGACCACCACCACCGCCACCGTCTGTACATGTCTCAGAGCATCTTTAGGTACTCCAGTACACGATCGGGTAAGACTCTATAGCTGTCCAATCTTCCTCCTATGACAAGGTCCTCTAAACTTGCTTTCCTGTAGCCCTCAACTTCCCATAAATCATCGGGAAGCATCTTCATCATTTCTCCCGTTCCCCACATTTTGCGGCAATAGACCGGGACAGCGAGATTACTCTCCTTGCTGAGACAATCCTCAATTTTTCGATTGACTTCCTCTAAGCTTCGTGTCGCAATAGAGGGGTCCCTGCCGTTCTTCTCTTTCATGATCGCAGCGAGTTCCATGCCTGTTGGTGCAAGCTCAGACAAGGTGATAGTCCGGTTCTGGATAGTGTGGATAGGTCTGGTTGTGAATATGTCCACGTATGCAGCTGCTACGTAGTCCTTGGTGCTAGAAGGAATTAGTTCAAACCCAGAACAAAGGGAACATGATTCAAGAGAAGGGAGTTTTCTGGGTGTAAATGTTTAACGCACCACATAGTGACTCTTTCGCTAGCAGAGTTGCCGGTGTAGACTAACACGTTATTCTGCAAATCAACACCCACTGCCCTATGATTTTGTGTGGAAAGTCAGTTACGGCATAAACATCCCCGGGTACATGGTTGACGACTGACGGTGTACTCAAGGTGAACTCAGCGAAATTTCCCACGTGGACGACGGTAGTTGGAATTCCAGCATCCTTAGAAGCCTTTTCGACTTTCGCCTTTGCCTTCATACAGGGCATGCGCATTCCCTGCTCACAATACCGCAGACAGAAATCCGAAGGGGAGAAAAGCTGGACATTAGTCCTAGGGATGGCTTTCACAAAGCCATACTGTCTGTCGGTTCCCTCGTCTCCAACAAGAGAACTTTGAGACAAATCCATTAGCATAGATCCGGAAAGGTTATAAAGGCGCACAGTAGCTCTTGACTAACATCACAATGTCTATGTCTTGCAAGGCATCAACCAAAGCGTCTTCATCAAAAACGTCGACTTCAATCTTTTTCACATGTTCTGGGAGATTGGAAGTATCCGATGTAGGGCGATGTAAAACAGTGATGGGAGCTCCCGAGGCAATCAGAGCAGGGACAACTCGAGAGCCAACGAATCCACGGTGACCATAGACAGCGATACGGTTGAAGGCCATGGTGCAAAAGACAGGAGGTGTCTGGAAAAGATCAATAAATGTACAATCGTTGTCGAAAGCTGTTGGGATAGGGCCAGTTTGAACACCTATATCAAGATAACCAATTTAGAGCTCGGAAAGTAGGATCTTATATAACTTCCAACATATAGATCTGCGGGTTTCATAATGAGCGTGAGTCACCTTTTTTGCGTTTTTTGAAAGAGTAGCCGGTCCACGTCGTATAGATCAACAGGTTCGCAATCTGGCCTAAAGAGGAAGCTAGATTACCCCTAATGGAAATACTAGATTGGCCATATTCCCATTCAAGGCTAATGTAGCTTATCCATATGATGAAAGTTTCCTATTTGGGCCATTTCGCGAGGTTGTGGGGATCCGTCTTGAGTCTCCTCGAATCATCAGAGGCGATGTGCCCACTCTGCCAAAGTGGATCTCTTCTAATCCAACGCATGTGAGGCTACTAGATGACCACATTGTTTACACTCTGACTCTATATAATTGATGCCTAGTATATCTCATTAGATAAAAAGTGGGTAGCGTCCTTTTGTGAAGCAAGCCATTGCTCCCTGAGCGGGGCAATACAGTGAAATTGTAGCCATCACGATCATCGCCAGAAAGATCTGCAACACTTCCCGCTCCACTCAAGCTGACAATTCTGGATAGACCGACGTAGGGAAAGAGGAAAAAAGAAGGTGTTGACGTTATCACCATTTGTATGCAATGTTAATTATGTCATTAGCGCGACAGTATGACTGAATAATAAATGTTTGGAGAATATTCTGTACTTGAGTCTTGGAACAAACAATATTTCCATGAAAATGCTAGTTGGTGTTCACTCGTCTTTTTGCTATTCTTGAGAGGGGCTTAGTGTATTCGTTGAGCATCAAGTGGACAACCTAGAGATTCGTATCCTTCTTTTATTTACCAGGACCTACGAGACATACTACTAGGTCCTACTAGCGCTCTCATACTACGTCGGTAAAGATGAAAGTGTAAGTAAGAGAAGGAAGTCTATAATTATAAATTATAGGTTCGTTTTTATGTTTCCTGTTCTTAATACAAATAAGTCAACTCAATTTATGAGTTGAATAATACATGCAATTTCATTCAAATTGTCCCTCCATCTCATCAATCGCTATCATGTTCCATAGCTTTAAATATAACAATATCATAACCATTTATTACCGCCAGCACATGATTATAAGAAGCCTTGGCATGCTGCTAAATAGACAACGACAGCCCGCGAAATCCTCGAGCGGAGCTCCTCGGCGAGAGTCATGGTGCCGAACGAATATGCGTTATATTCGGTGAAACCGTAAGCAAATTCAAGTGAGAGGATATAAATAACGGCTGTGCGATGCTGATAGTAGCCTTATATAGAGGTGAGAAGTATGGTCGGTTGATGATCGTGTGGCGTGGACCCTACTAGAGCCCTTAAACAGATATAAAGGCGCATATTGTCTATAGCGACGCCCCCAACATCCTCTTTAAGAGGGCAAAAGCACGGACAGAGATGTCCGAAGACTCTTCCTCATCTGGGCCCAGTTTCTGGAAAGACATCAATAATGGGAATAATCCATCAATCCATTCAGCCAAGTATAAGTTTCTTTTGCGAGAGTAGCCCTGGCGATCATACATGCCACTTAGAAGAGCTGGGTAAGTCGCATCACGATGGGAGTCTGATAAGCAGACGGATCGCTTCGATATTTGTCCATGTCCTTTAGGGGGCAAAGAGATAGACAAGTCTGTAAGCTTTTACTTGTCTGGATCAACTTTCTGGAAAGACATGTTTGAAGGAAGCTATCCATGCATCCAACTCCATGAACTTCTGCGTCATTTATATGGCGACCGCGCATGCCGGTTGAGTAGATCGCATCGAGATATAAGGAGCTAGTCATCGTTATATAGTGATGATTCGCTTAGGCAACGCCTTATATCCTTTATAAGAAGCGTATGCTCTCGACTTTGGACCCCCAGACTGGAGGGAGCGATCGTAAGTCACCATTCATATTGCATGGTGAAGTAGATAAGTAGACCGCAGCCCTGGATGAGTGGAGTTTTGCGGGCAGTTCGAAATGAGGGTAAATCTCTCATAAAAGGCAACGTCAACAATAGAAGGACCGTCCCGAAAGGGGTATACCATGCATATTCCCAGCGATCGCCGTCGTTTATCGTCTTGGCTGCCCTGGATTAAGGGAAGCTAAGTCGCAGATCGAATTGAGAAAACGACCTCGTATGAGGCTATCTGCGCAGATCTTCATGTATAGAATGCGCCATGCGTCTATCCTCAACCGCTCACTCTCACTACTCCGACGAGTAGGCACCGCAAACCCCCATTCTAGTATATGAGGCTCATGTAATTTATCCATCCAAAGATAAATTCGATAAAGTAGTGCGCGAATGTTTAACTTATCCGTGTAAAGATGACCATGATCCAAGGCTCTTTGGGTCTTGTAGGTGTCTAGACCGTTCCAAAGGAGAGCCAGTCGAGCTTATTAAAGTGGAACAATAATCCATGCCAGACGGTACGTGCATGCAATAAGTAACACGACGATTCAGTTGGGAAACTCGCCATTCTATTCCCACAGGTACCATCACTTAATCATGATGGTTACATTATGTCTGTATCCTGCGTTTTGTTTTAAACCAGGTTATCTGCCTTTTGCTTTGAACTTTGGCGTGACAAAAAGGGAATAGGAATTGTCTTAATTCTTTCTCCTTGTCCGCATTAAGCACGGAAAATGGCTAGAACGTTTGCCATTTTCTGTTGCGAGCCAGAAAGAATCCGAGAATATGGCAAAGAGCATCCCGACAAACAGGCTCAGCAAACAAAGACCGTCGCTGCCATAGCTCGAAGCCATATACGCTTTCAAAGACCAACTGAAACGTACCGAATAAAAGATAGAAAGTACTAAACAGGATGGCGGAGAAGATGCAGATGTTTAGGAACATCGGTTCTAGCGTCAAAGGTTGCACGGACACGCCATGTGCTAGGTACCCCTTTGTCCTCGATATTAGAATGGAGAAAAAAGAGTATCGACAGCTTTTAAGCATGCTTAGAGCTTCATGCTCCATCCACGTACGTCCCAGAGACTAGGAAGATAAGTCGTAAATATAAGCCCCGTTGTCGATACGTTCAAAAGAAGACCACCATAAGTAGTGGGAAGCGAGTCTCGAGATGACTATCTCGGCCTTTAGGGATCATATAGAGATAAGACGGTTTGTTCGGACGATAAAGTATCTTTAATATGGTACCATAGTCCTTTTATTATAGTACTATGGTACTATTATGGATCATGCCTTTAGGTGCGCAAGCATGCTTGGCAGTAATCGGATGAATCCACATTACTGCCGGAATACGGTACTTTGTACCTTTAGAGATCATGCCCTTGTTGCTTCGCAGTAATGGGATAATTCATCATTACTGCGTATAATAATGCTGCGTTGTTAAAAGGCCATTAGTAAAGCCCATTAACAATTTGCCACCATATAGCGGATAAGTTCGCGGCTTCTCTTCGCGGATATCAAGTAGAGATGATTTGGTGGCATGGCCATCCTTTCGATCAAGATATGGTACCTTAGTACCTGTAAACATAATACCCAGACCTTCGAAGGGCTGGTGGAAGACAAGGACCGGGTAGAGCGTCGCGAATTCGTCGCCGGTAACTCCCAGGTTCAGACCAATGATGACGGAGTGGAAGATAACACCGAACTCGAGAATGAGGAAGGTGGCAATCTGTTGTTTGAAGGACCTTTCGATCAATGTGTCTGTGACCTCGCTCATGTGCATCTTCCTCCTTGACTTTGGTGCCGAGCGCTATGTCGAAGTCAAGTATGGCGTCTGCAGAGAGGACCCCGAGCCAATCATGACCAGTGCGGTGGATAACTCAACTGTGGACAAGGCATCGCCCGGAAACTCTAGGAAGAGCGAGGCTGATGTGGAGGAGTTGTCCACCTACGCCAATTCGCAGTGATCGGATGAAACCACGTTGCTGTGTACAACAGCTAATGCTGCGTCGATAAAAGGCGCTGAGAAGGCCCAGTGTACCAACTCGCCATTCGTAGCGCGTGACTTCGCGGTTTTTCCTTCGCAGGCGATTAAGCGGAGATTATAACGCGCCTGTCCAAGTTATAGATAATAAAAATGTGCGAAAGGCCGCTATATAATTTTGCGTTGCGCGTATCGATGATTCTTTAGACGACGAAACCGGATGATTGTCATCTGCGCGCTGGCTGGTTGGAGGTTCTATGTCGCAAGCCTGATTCCAGGAAGATAAAGAGAGGATAAAGAAGCATCAACCAGGCCCATCGAAACAGGGGTGAGCAGCTTCCAAGCAGGTCGCTGTACCTTCCAAGCAGCAACGATCAATCAAGCAATCCAGCAAGATCAATGGAGCGTAGACAAGTAGAACCACCACTTGAAAATTTCGTCCGTCGAAATTACAAGCCCGACCGGCAGCTTAGCGCGTAACAAGCAGAAGTAAGCAGAGAAACATCAAGGCAGTCGACGAACGCCTGGGATCCTTAGAAGCGGGTTGAAGGACATCAATGTGGAAGATCGGCTTCCCTGTCCTTGTGGCTAGTCATGATGTAAGAAGTAGAGATGTTATTGACTAGCCAACGTGGCTCGTGGCTTCCAGTGGTTCGTAAATGCTTCCTTTTTATGTTCTGGACTTGGGTTTGTGTAGATAGAGAACCCAGACCACTGTTCTTCAGCTGTCGGAGTCGCCACTTCCAAGAAGTGCTGATATATGCGCATATGGTATATGGTTGGCGTTTTTCAAAAGCACAGTCGGCAAGAGGTATAAAATATGAGCCCCCATGTTGTAAATAAAGAGGGAAACCCGAGTCAGAGGGAAGACACCAGTTCCCGATCATCAGGAAAACATTCCTTGGCTATAAGCTTGATACCTCTATATAACATTCGTTGGATCAAAGCCTTTGTAGAGTAAAAGTAGAACATTTTTCCGGCATGGTGAGGTAGAGTAGGACTAGTCTTGCCAACCTGGCCGAATAAGTTGCCATGGCATTGTATTCCTCCTTTGAACGGTCACTGTCGAGAGATTAGACTATATATCTAGTCAAATATAAACCTGGCGTCTTCTCTTCGACCATTTTCTGACCATGAGCCCGATAGTAAGATTGATAGAGCTTCTTTTGGAACTGCATCACAGCCAACGCAGTGATTGAACCAGTCAATCGGCAGCGACTGAAGTGCGTGAGTTCGAGGAAGGGTCAATTGTAAATTGGCAGGTTCTTTTTTTACTGGAGCATTGCGTCGAATGTATAGTGCGCATGGTAGAACCAACCAGTTCCAGAATTTTTTGAGGATGTCACTATCGTCGGATGCCCCTTTGAAGTCTGTGGAAAGCTCCAGTTGTGAGCCACAGATACTGCATTTCGACTTCCATGCAGGATCCAATCTGACCACTGTCCACATGGTTTCTTATTCGATAGATGTGACGTTTTGCTTCGCATGAGCCAAAGAGTGACAACATTATGGCCCTGTTCTCAGCCAGTATCTGCCGATGTGAGGTGGCATGTTTATATAGAGCTTTGCTGATAACTCAGGTTTGAATGGCACTGATTCAAACCTTTCTTGAATTATATAGTCGGTTTCTTTGGACAAGAAGATTTGTTCGTCAACCTTAGTCTCCGGAACTTCGAAACTTGTGGTCGGCTTTTCCATAGTGTGCGACAGAGCTTGACGTTGCTCTTTGTGGTCTTGGTGGAAGTGGGTTTGCTAGGTATGCCAACGACCTTCCATTTTCCTTTTCTCCACACACTACCACTCACTAGACTCAGAGATCACTGAAGTATGTAAGTGGAACAACGCTAGCTTATTGATAGCCTCGATACTGTGATTAGATCGAAAGGCAATCCATTCTTTTCGGGAGCTAGAACGCTGCACCATCGTATCGGCTGTAGGCTAGATACGTTCTTCCTGTTTGTAGACGGACAGTTGAGGTTCTTGACAGGATCATCCACGTATCTTGTTCGATATGATAAAAGCACACTCTTTCGAAAGTGATCTCGTCTTAGTTGTAGCAGACCGCTAAGCTTTCCATTGCTATAACAATGCAACCGTCTTCGGACTTCGATAATTTTCAGCCACATTTCTCCTTGAATTTGGCGTCCACCAGACCTAGAAAGGATTGAGTATGGGCATGCCAAAGCGAGGTATAATCAGCACGAAGAGAAAGCCGTCATGCAAATTACTATATTCCACTTCGCTGTCCGTCAAAGATGCAGCACGAGCTTTTTCGAGTTTGCTCGCTAGTTCTATATAAGTTTTCGGTCAGGATGGAACAGCGCTTTCAGTGTTGGTATAATGTTGTGCAAGCCGCCATTTGTTCAAGTTGTGACGGAAAAGCAAACGGCAGGGCCATTCTTGCTCGCGTTGCTGCCTTGCAATCTTCCCAGTCAAAAATGGCAATCTTAGCATGAAGGATTTTCATGTGTTTAAGCAGCATGTACTGTATTGCTGTAGGTTGTCAAATTGCTGAGTAGATGCTCAAGCTCTTGACGATGGACGAAGACACCCGCCATTACATGGAAGAGTAGAGATAGAAGCGAGGTGCCTCGTCGTCAGATTTGTGCAAGATCTTATCAAGAATGAATCAGTCATCACCGCATTGGACAAGATAGATTTATATAGTCGGTTAAACTTCTCTGGTGAAGTTATTGTCAGCTCCCGCGCATGGTGCAAGCAGCATTGGCGAAACTCTGCAAGCAGTTTCAGAAGATCGTAGCTGAAGCCGATCTTCAAGCTTCGCAATTATAGTATATTCAGAACGAGGAGCGAAGACTGTGTATAATATCCGAAGGTGAAAAAGCGATCCATGGAGATCTTTCGGTCGGTCGATCGAGACTCTGGAAACAGGTAGGAGTTAGTAACCACAAAGATAGCATCAAGCTGAGTGATAGATAACTTACGGAGGATATAACCGCTTCCACAGGCACCAAGCCTGAGAAGGTGCTGGACGCCGTCTCGTTTGATCCCTTCTGGCGATCAGAATGCCACCAGGCGTTAAGTTGGCTTCAAGATGAGCCACTCTATATAAACGCAGGCTATAGACCGTGGCATGCTACCATGCTTTGCGTACATAAGCCAGAGAACGACATTAATGATGGCCTTAATTTTATTTCACATTCGTTCTTGAAATAAAGATTTTTCTGAAAATCCGACCGATTGTCCTCATCATCTCCGACGCGAGATATCTGAGATACCCATGGTCATTCTTTCTCCATGGGCGAAATGCTCGCTTCATTCTCCAGTGGATATAGTCATTCTGAGCGACCCATTCGCTTCAGAACGATCGATAGCTGAGTAGATATTATGCTGAAGTCGAGAATGGGTCACTAAAATCCTAGCGCCCTCACTCTTCGATAGATGTATATCTCAAACCATAAAGAAGGCAATCCAATGGCTTTAACTTGTGCGTCTGAGCCGAGTTGGTTTGCGAAGCAAGTTGGTTGTATTGGCTTCTTCAAACCGCGCAGTGAAACGGTAATCGAGGAGCGCTTTCCACTCAAAAGTGTAAGAAAGCCTCGACTAGCTTTCTGGAGCCTAAAAGAAGCGTCCTTGTGTTCTTAAGTCTTAGCAAAAGAATTGACTCTTTTGAGAAATGAGCTATGAGTTATAAAGATGTAAATGAATGAACCGGACGAGTGGTTCTAGAACGTCGACGATATCTCCCAGCGTGATAGAGGAATCGCCCTGCTGGGCTTCGGATGCAACCCCAACCACTGCTGATTGCAGCATCGAAAGGCGATTGTATTTGCGAAAGTCTGTTGTGGTCGAAAGGTAAGCGCTTTGGCATCATCCAGTATTACAAAATCTTTCGTGATGCGTGTGGGCCATGGCACGGGAGATTGGGTGCTTCAAATCCTCTTCATTGCTTTGGAAAGCCGAATGCGTTAGGTGTTTTTGTAGAGATGGTTGTCGCTTTGGGCTTGGTTCATCTGTGTGTTTGGGATCAGGTGAACTCTTGATCGGCTAGATCTTCTCTAAGGAATAGGAGATTTTGCAATGTTCCTTAGATGAAAAAGGTACAAGAACACAGGTATGTATTCGTGCAGAATGAGGTTAGTATCCAGTGTCGAAGGGCTAGTAACTATTGGGAGTGATCAGAGGACGAAGACATGAAACCATGGTCGTGTCACCCGCGTTTTTGATCCCAGCGTTCAAGCAGGCAATTTAGGCATTTGCGTGAAGCAATTCCTTCCAAATGAGAGTCTGCGTCGATGGATTGAGAGCGATCACGTCACCGTCACAATCATTGATTCCCACTAAGCTTTGGCATGCACCGAGACCAGAGCCGGAGTGCAATGTAGAAGAAAATTGGAGTTCAGCTCTTCGCGACAGAGTGCTGTCTCTTTATCATCGCCCGAGATTCGAACCAACCGCAGTATATCTTGGCTGCTTCCTCTTTTGCGAAAAATATCGTCGCAACCGACCCATTGGAAACTTTACCGCGACATTAATTGTCGCAACCGACCCATTGGATGTGTCGCCGTCGGCCATTGAGCTCAAGAGAGTTCGACGCCGGCTTCTAGCAGATGGTTGCGGGAAGAATGAGCAATCGAAGAGGTATGTCTCCGGCAAGATAAGAAGAAGCAAGCGATGGGTTGGAAAAAGCGACATCACGGTCGCTTGCGTCAGGACACCCTTGAGAATTTGAAGAAGTAGATGTCGCTTCGTTATCCAGACCGTGTGCCAACAATTCGAGATGGAGCATTTGACGCAAGGCGTTTGCTGTCGGTTATATTGGCAATCACGGCTCACCTCAGGACCGATGAATGGAGAACTTGTGTAGAGCATCATCGGTGCACTTAGCTCATGACGGGCAAACCGGTCACCCACTGTGCCACCTGCTACACTAAGAAATGCGCTCCCGGCAATACGGTTGTTCGAAGCTTGTGCAAACTTTGCTCATGGTGATTGCTTATGAGCTTGCCTTTGCCAGTTCTATAGCCGAAGATGGATCTACCTTTGCTCGTTTCACTCTTTTTCTGGTATGGCTGATACCATGCGACGTGGCCAAAACAAATCTAGATGATGATTTTAAGACGCGTTTTTGGACATCTCTTCCAATTGAGCAGATGACTCAAGCAAAAGATCGCCTTCAGAAAGATCCAGCATCTCCCCAGTAATGTCGAGGATGAAAGCAGGCTCGAGGGCCGCATATATAAGATGAATGTTTGAAATACCCGTCCAGGCCCAAAGTGAGACTATTAAACGGAGCGTCGTCAAGTTCAGAGTCCACCGAGATGCTCAAGCAGCCGTATATAATGATTTTCGTCTTTCTTTTCGACGAGAAGTTGGCAGATACCGCATGGAAAGAGTAACTGGACATCGTTGTGTCTTACGATGATTTTAACAGGCACCATAGCTGCTAGAAGATCGACCAGGGACTGTAGCAAACCCCAGTGACGCGTTGCTTTGAAGCCATTCCATGCTTGGAAGATTCAGCGATGCAAGAGTCGTAGCTTGGTCGTTCAATCGAAGTGGGCTTCCGATTTCGGACGCGGTAAGAGAGGTTGGACAGCTTTAGGGAAAATGCGTGAAACTAAAGCGTTGGAACCGTAGATTGCGACCGTGATATCATAGGCCCCATCAGATATCGCATCACTGCTAAATCCGAAGATGATCTTTGTAGTCTTATAGGAGTCGACGCAGCAGTGTGCTGAGACACTGGGTCAGATTGTATATAAATTGTGTCGGAGATCGTAAGACCGCTGTGAGAGTGACAACTAAGTCGAAGTCACCATCGATATACGAAGTCGCAATCGCGCTTTCAAGTGGCAATGGAACCCACTAAGCCTCCAAGTGATTTCACCACCGATTACTCTTCTCGCTTGTTTTCTGCGATGACGAAAGGTAGCCGATTTCCACGAGCACCATACGTCGCCGTGTAAAGCGAGCTTGTGACGCAGTCCACAATCACAGCTGTAGGTAGCTTGGTGCTTGGCTTTTGGTCGCAGCCGGTGAGAACGATGATATCCTTGTAGACTTCATGCACGAATTTGCAGGTCTCGTATGGGCTTTTTTCTTAGAAAGGCCTTTGAAGGACAATATTGTAGTCGAGACGCACTCCGTCATGGTTCATACCAGAGCTCGGAGGCCTTCTATATATAAGGGTTTTATTCCAATTTGTTACCCTTCTTCAAACTTCTCGAAAACTGTCAGACATCATTCGAATGTCAAAAGCTTCCTTTTCTCTTTCGTTTTGTCTTTTCTTTTTCCCTTTTTCCCTTTTCTTTTTCCTTCTTTTCTTTTCTTTTCTTTTCCCTTCCTTCTTTCTTTATTTTTTCTTTTTCGAAGGTAGCATAATCAACGTCCTTGACCGCATGAAGAGCGTACGGTTACCAGATCAGTAAGAGGCGTTTGTAAGTCGAGTGAGTCTAACCTCTGAGTTACCAGCCATCATCCGAAGCGACGGAACAGTCAGGCGACGATGATTATTGCAGGCAATTTATGCTGTGCGATTCTTGAAGGCCTTGTCCATCATCCGAAGCCAACATGTTGCAACGGAGCAATGAAGTGACAAGTCCTCCAGGCAATTTATGCCGTGTGATGCCAGATGGCTGAATCCCCTCATCCAAAGCGGACATGATGCGACCGAAGAATCAGGGGACAATTCCCGCAGGCAATTTATGCTGTGCGATTTGCCAGTGGCCTTGTCTTTGATGCCTCCCTCGTTATGCTGGGGAAAGATGAAGCGTTCCGTAGTAATTGGCAGATCCTGCCTTCAGTCATAGTTCGGATACATGAGTTCGAACTTGTTGGCTCTGTGCATTGCCAAGGTGAACAGACCGATGGGTTTTCGCAGCGACCAGTTACCATTCGAAGGCGACATGATGCGACCGATGAACCAGGCAACGGTTCCCGCAGGCAATTTATGCTGTGCGATCCCCATTGCCTGCATCCTTGACGTCTTCAGCGCTGCTTCAAGGAAGATGATGTGTTCCTTAGTAATTGGCAAACCCTGCCTTCAGTCATAGCTCGATGAGATGAGCTCAGACTCGTTGACTTTGTGGACTTGCAAAGATGAACAGACCGATGAGCTTTCGCAGCGACCAGTCACTTTTGGAGGGAGACATAATGCGACCGAACAATCAGGTAGTCCTAGGAGACTTTCCATTGCTGCGCAAGTCCTGGCGATTGTGTATCACCAACCTGGAAGGCCATCGTCGTAAGATTGGCGAGAACGATGCCTTCCATAGTAATTGGCAAACCCAATCGCGGCGACACTTTTGGAGAAAGTGATGCCTTGCGTCGTATTTAGCGAACCTGCACCAATGCAGTTGCTTTGGAAATGCCAGAGAATTCAACCGACGCTGACTGGTCTTGACGAAACAGTTGTCGCAGACGAAGTCATCTGTTCAATGTCCTTTCCTTTGTTGATGCTTCCCGCATTCGCCAAGGCATCTTGTACATTGGAGTGTATATAGGAAAGTATGATGATGGCTGTACCTTGGAAGTTGGCCATGAGGTACCACCAATGAGTCTTGATTCCGAGTCTTGTGAGTCTTGGTGAGAAGTATTTTGCGACAGCAGCCAATGCCGCAAGCATTCTCACTCCTTAAATTGTCCTCTCATTCCTGGGGCTTCCAATGTTCAGTCCTGTGGCTTCCAATGTGCCAAGGCATCCTTGACGAGGTTGGCTTCCAGCGCGTATATATATTGCCTTGCGTCGTAGTTCTCAAAGACGGTTGTTTGTGGTCGTTTATAAGACCTTTGCCGGAGCCATCGTTGTTGCGAGAGTTAACGTCTTTCACCGGTCGTAGTCGCGTTCAAAGGTATTGACTCCAGCCTTTATATATATAATTAAGTCAGGCTTCCCAGTGATAGTGCCTGCAAAATACCTTGAATCCGATGTCTTTCGTCGTAGTTCTTGAAAGCGTCGTGGTGTTGGCACATGCTGCAGACGATGAAGTGCAGGACTTGGCCAGGAGGTAATCGAAGCAGCGATAAAGCGACCAAGCAATGAAGCGACGAAATGCTTGGGCTTCAAGACAACGGAGCAGTGGACGTCGAAGCGAGAACGCCACGGAGCAATGAAGCGACGGAAAAGTAAGGAGACCATCGTCGCAGTTCAAGATTTTCTTCGCTTTAATGAGATTCCGGTTTCAGGAGAGCCCCGTCAACTGATAGGTTGCATCGAGCGAACTCTTCCAATGTGGGAATCGAAATGATGCTGCTAAAGAAAGCTGCCTCATAGAGTTTTTTGATTGCCACTCTGGAGGCTATACCATCGTTCAAGGACCAGCCGCGATGGAAAGATATATAGAGGCTGACTGGTGTATGCACAGTCGCTATATAGAGGGAGCAGTCGAACGCTAAGAGGAGCGACCGTCCAACGGACAATGACCCTCAATGTCTCCTTTCGAGCCCTTCTGGAGCTGAAGCTAGAGCAAGCTAGCTAATCGAAGCGACGAGGTGAAACGTCGTAGTGATTGTAGCGCCAGTATATAAAGCGAAGGAATGACTTGAGTTTGTCGTTTCGAAGAACTGGTTGTTCGGCTCGAAGCAGTGAGTGGAAAAAGAATGTATGGCTGCAGAATGTCGAAAGCGTACATCAGTGGCCCTTCAAGCGCGGCATCGACAAGCCAGCGTCCCACCGCGATTGAATTCTCGCGGATTCAAAGGATCGTTTTCGTCCCGATCAACGAAGCCTTCTGATGCTTCGGAAGTTCCTCTGTTGTTCTTCCACTATATGCCGTAGGCCAAGGAGCCGATCAGCCAGTGCTTGATCTGTTTAAATGACGAGGATCTGTCACAAGGTCGCTTTCGTTCAGATCGACGAAGCCTTCTGATGCCTCAAAAGTTTCTCTGTTTTCTTCCGATATATAGCGTAGCCCGAAGAGTCGACGGCTCAGAATGTCGGGAATATATATTGTATACAATACAGTGGTGCACTTCTTCTTGCCCGCTGGCCCTTCGGATGTGTTCGATGGGCTTATAGTGTCGATATATATATATGCAGCGACGGTTAAAATTGTAGTCACCATTCGCGACACTGTTGCAAAGCGTCGAAATGCCGTACACCGTTTTGGAGATTATATAATTATGCACTGATTAGCATCTTATAGATTGTGTATAGGTGAGAGCTGTCAGTGGTGTTTATGAAGTTTGGGCCAGCCAATCAAAGTCGAGAAGTCTCGTATATGCTATCTCCACTGAATCATAGATGGGGTAGTATATAATTGGTCTCGCAGCGTATATACTGTGACAGGCGAGTTGCGTAATCGAAATCGTCGGCGCAGCTTCTCCATGGGGCTTGATTTCAGTATGTCATAGAAATCAATAACGCGGCCACAGATCATCGGGGGTGGACCGCACGTGAACGATGGAGACTGAATGTCCCGCGGAGTTGTGCAAGGGCGTCTCAGAGTTGTTGAGGCATCATGGCGTGATTCTGTTACGAGAGACAATGCAATAAGGAGTCGTAAGGGAGCCACGAACGAGGCGGCTTTTGGAGAAGAAGGGGACGCGAGTCAGAACTGCTGCGGAGATGCAAACCGCTCGGTCGGCGCGTTGGGTGGGGAGCAAAGAAAAAACTAATGAAAATTGGCATGAGGATAAGCATAGAGGACAAGAAATGCAAAGTCGAATAAGCACAAAAAGGCGCTTTATGCATAATAATCGAGGGGATGTGGTTGGATGGCCGAGGTACGATCTTCCGGCACAGTGAGCCGATCGAGGGCTGGATCGTCGCCGAGAAGAGCTTTTTTTTTCAACGCTATTCTGTCTTGTTTCCAATAAGAATGACAGAGTGGCAGGTTGCTCGACGGACTTCATCCGAGGCAAGACCGGTGACCCAAAAGGTGAGTGTATCCCCATGGTGTGCCCTGACCAAGTGGGGTTCGTTCTCCTGAGTGGCTGGAACCAGGGGCTTTTTTATGCTTACTGTGGGTATCTCGGCGTTAATGAGCTTGGAGATGCCGTGGCAAAGAGAGCCTCCCCCGGCATGCCGAAGCCGAATGTATGCCCTCGACGGTCGGGGAATTCGGAGAAGCCGGCTTATGCCAAACCCAGCGTAGCCGGTATTTCCCCGGGGGGGTTTTTAAAAAGTGCTTCGTATGCGAGCTGAGATTTAACCGTCTCGTTAGGCGAGATGAGGCGGATGTTGCTGCTAGTCGATCTCATCCCGCCCCAAAACTTGAGTGAGGCCAACTGGACAGGCCCACGTGGCACCAAAGAGAAAACCAGCACAAATGAGAGTCATGATGAAGAAGAACAGAAATAATACCACAAATGAGATGGTGTGACGTATAACGGAAACAAATGAAGGTCGTGCCATCGGAACAGACGGCTTCTTAGGGTTGTTCCCCGCTCGTTAGACTGAACTCCATCCCCAAAAAGAAAGTGATCAGGTGAGGCGACGGAGGGTCCCCAAAGCAAGGAATATTACCCCTCCTTGACAAGTTATGATGGAGAGTGTGAGGCGAGCGTAAGAAAGCAGTAGAAAGAGTGTGGAGATTACATGAGGGGCAGAATGCGGTGTAGAAGGGGAGGCAAAATACTGAGTGGGGATACATCGTTGACAGAAGGGAAGCAGGCAAGAGCATGAGGTTACATCAGAAGCAGTATCAAGCAGGAAGATTAGGAATGACTAGAAAGGAAGAAGAAAGTAACGAAAGGATGCAGTAGTCAGCTAAGCTTCGAAAGAGAGTGCGATGGAGATGAAGATGATGAAGATGATAGAGATAGAGATGATTCAAAAGAGTGTATGATGAGCTGATGAGCAGTCAGATCGATGCTTGTGACCTTTCTGAGTATGGAGAGGAGGGGAGAATGCGAAGGAGAGATTTGGGTCGAAAAGGGAGGCGTTTATATACCTGAGAATCATCAGTCATCAGATTCCAGATCATCGTTCACAGTCCAGTGCCTCCGTTCACTCTATACATGGGAATGAGAGAGGAAGTCGTGGAATGAGGGCTTCAAACCGTGGAATGAGGGCTCAGATCGTGGAATGGGAGCCTCACGGCGTTACGCTGAACACCAAGATTCACATATTCTCGTGGAATGGAGACATCTCTCGCCCATAATAGGAAGTGGAGATGGTGAACGGTCAAGAAGTGTGAACGGAGGCAAGAGTGAACGGGTCGATGCGACAAATACCATTCCACACAGTCTCTCGTAATGACCATCACACTACGAAAGAGTCCGTATTGTGTAGCAAGAAGGATCGGGTTGCTGTTCACGCAGGAGAGAACGCGGGCCATTACTATTTGTCTACCCTAGGGAACTTCCGGTGGAATCACGAATTAAGAAAGGGAATTGTAGGACATGGAAAAGTCTAATTCTAAATCTATAATGTATCCCAAACGCCTGTGTAGCTAGAACAACAATCCCAAAGGAGTCGTAAAAAGGCTGACACAAATGATGAGCGCTCAATATAGTGTATGCATATAATCGTTTCACCAGAATTCACCGCTAGAGATGCAAGAACATTGAAACCCAAAAGATGCTGAGGCTAAAATATGAGACAAGAAATGGAAAAGGAACCAAGGCGGTGTGAGGAATCATTCAGACACATCCTCATCTTGACCCGGCCACATGATGTCCTTGCGGATAACGGCCCGGATGGCGCTAACCAGGACAAAGATAAACATGATGATAACACAGAGAGACATGGCGGTGGCCACGCCCTTGACGCCTGGGCTCTCAAACATGTTGGCCAGGGTGATGGTGGCAAGAGTGAAACCCGTGTTGGGGAAGACCATGGCGAACCAGTTGAGGTGGAAACCCTTGGGCGGGGAGCGGACGACAGCAACAACCGCAATGCAGAAGAACCAGAAACTCAGAGCCCAAAGGAAGATGGCCGCACTGACAGCGAGGAACAGCATGACGCGTCCGTCGATAACAGCATGGGGATCACCGACAATCTGGAAATCATCAGGCAGCGCCTTAGCCATACCAACCAAAGCGAGGGCAGTAAAGGCAGGTGGGCCAACACAGATGAACATGCCAGGCCTGTGTTCGGGGCTCGGCAAGCCAACCTCCATCAGTCGTCCGATGTAGTGGGCGTACATCATGAAACTGATCGAGAAACCAAGACCCTGGAAGGTAATACCGGCAATGACCATAGGTATTCCATCACTAGCCGGCTGTCCGCTTGCGATAACGGAGGCAATGGTACCGCTAAGCATGACAGGGAAGGCTGGCAGAATCCACGACGGCATCATGGTGTGCAGCTCGTATTTGTGGGTGGCAAAGACAAAAGAGTACTGGGCGACGGCGGTGATCATGGTGAAGCCACAGTAGATCCAGAAGAGGACTTGGAGACACTTGGTAAATTTTTCGTTCGAGTCATCACCAAAGCACTTGTACAAGCCAGTGATCATGGTTGCAATGGAGAGCCAGAAGGTCGGGAAGAAGAGACCTTCACGGTCATGTCCGAGAGACTCCAACATATTCTTATGCAAGATGAATCTGATGACCATGAGAGTAGTGACGATGACGAAGAATGCAATGTTGAGACAGTAGACTACCCGGGCAATGTCCTTCAAGCCCTTGAAGTCATGAGGCTGGTTGACAATTAGGAGGGCCAACCCGCCGCAGCTCATGGTCAAGGTATACCAGGCCCAGGTAAAATGGCGTAGACGCTCGCGGAGACCCACTCGACCTGGTTTCTCGAATGTATGGTTGACGCCTAAGTCGGCTTCGTGATTGACAGATATCTCGGAATCATGGTTGGCATGTTTCTTGGTCTCATGGTGGAAGGTTTCCAGATCCGAACCAGACGAGCCAGGGAGGCTCGTTTCAACGTTCATAGTGCCGATCGACTATGGTCTATACGGTGATGTATAAGATATGAGGTGAAGGAATCAAAGATAGGAATAGAAAGAAGAGGTGTGAGGCAGTGTAACTGATGGAGAGCAAAAGCCACCGGCTTCCCTGCTCGTGAACAGTAGGAGAATATCAAGCAGTAGATAATGTCTGGTTCAAGTGCCTCGAAAGGAATGAGCCAGCCTTTTAACCAGGGAGGGGTGACCAGGCCTTAGCAAGCTGAGCGGACCCGTACTACTATTGTACACCGGGGGCCCACAGCGAAACAGCACGGAAAAACGTTTTGGGATACGGAGAACTGAATTGATAATTGTGGAGTGGATATGAAAAAAAATTCTGGTAAGACAGGGTGTTTGCTCAGGTAATGCAATGGCTTCTGGAAGAACCAATTGTTCCACGAGCTCGACTACCAGCGATGCATTGCACCTCCAACAGACAGGACATTCCACAGGTCATATAAGACTACGCATCAACCCCTATGCTTTTGGGGCTACAGTAAGGCAGTGCTTCTTGGGCTGCCAGAAAGATCGTCCTTCAAGTGTCAACACAGCATGGCCAAGAGCATAACAGCCGACCTGCAGGGGCATGGCAAGAGCGGTTGGCTCACCAGGCGAAGAGCATCACAGTCTAGACTTCAGATAATCAGTATCGCGGGGCCCAATATCTATGCGTATGTAATATCCAAATTAGGTCAGGAGAATTAGGAATCATAACAGGGGGGAGAGCCAGCATATTGCCAAGGCGGACAGGGATCCACGGCACTCAGTCGAAGCATCATAGGAGGCGAAGGTTGAACCTGATGGCTAGGGGAGCAGATGGTTCATGATCCTCAACTTTCCAGAGACTCTCTTCCGCCAAGCCATGCGAGGTTATGGTTCTGCATCAGTGGGTCGGTATGCATCGACAACGTCAACTGGCAGGCAATTCAGTTCTGGGTAGAAGAATTGATGGTATGCGCCACGCACTGTGTTATTATTATCACAGAATTTTACCCGTTTTGAAGGGTTGGGGTCCGGAAATTCCCCGAGAGTGCGGACGTGCCCATTGCCAGCATTTGTCACCGCAGAATCGCTGCCACATCAGGGACCACAGGTCTGAACCGGCCAAGAGACCTGTATAACTTCGTCTCAATTTTGAACTGGTGGTGATACATCTGAGTTTGGATGAGTGTTGCTATCGGGGACAAAAAACCGAATTTTCGAGGATTGATTTTTTGCCCCTGGATCCATCCCGAAACCTTTTCGGCCCATTGTGAGTTACGACATGGGCCGCGACGGGTGCGGCAAAAGGAGTGGCCAAACGGGAGGAGGTCGATGCTAAGCCCTGTTCGGACCGAGGATTAGGTACGGGAGACAGAGCCAGGAAGGTACGAGACGAGAAACAGCAGCAGCAGTAGCAGTAGCAGGAGGACCAGAGATAGTACACTTACTCAGTCGGGAGGCAGTCCCAAAGACAAGGTTGGAGCTGGGAAAGTGGAACTCGATGGACACCATCCGGGCCAATCAAGCAGGCAAACGCATTGTAGTGCGCATCCAGGAATCTTCAACGTGCGCTGATTTCTCCAACCTGTTTCGCTCCCCAGATGAGCGATGGCCAAGAGGAGGATCGACAGCGCACCATGGCATCTCCGCTGCCAAGTAGTGGTGGCTATAAAATGCCCAGAATATGGGAGAGGAAGCGAGCAGGAAGGTTTTTGCCAATACTATTAAGACTGCGGGAGATTTCTTGGGGGGTTCGGGAGTGGACAGTCAGAGAACTAAAGTCGACCGCAACCCAAAGAATGTAATGGAGAGGGGGGGATCGGATGTGGGCCCTGATCCATGCGGGTGACCCATGGATGGCAACAATGTAAAAAACCGGCCCATATACAGCATAAATTGAGGTCACCGGTGAGGGCAAAAACTGAACCCATTCAACCAACTGGATGGGGGTGGGGGGATAGACAGACAATTGGGAAGGAGAGGATGGAAAATGAAGAAGTTGATTGTGTTTGTGGGAAAGTGAAATTTGGGGGGGAAGGAGCGGAGGAAGACGGAATGGCCTCAGAGGAAATCCTGGCTGGGCATCCCTTGGCACGAGTTTCCTCCGGAACATTTGACCAGATGAACCAGATAGTAGATAGATAGTCCAGATAGATTAGACAGTTAGAGATAGAACTGATCTTCTTCTTACTCCTTCACAGAGTCAATCCCGATCCTTCCCTTCCGTCTCTTGGATGCTCTTGGCCGGATCGTCGCCAAGCATGGCTCAGCCATCTATCGAGATACTTGAGACTCGATAGATCGTTGATGAAACTATCTCGGCGTTCTTGTCCGCTGGCGATCCCCTTCTTGTCGCCTAATACTCGAGTCGTCATCCCATTCTGTGACTTGACTCCCTTATCTCCTCACCTACTTCGTGGTATTCCGGAACTCCTGGAAAATGTGATTGCCTACAATATGCCAAGCCAGTGGCGATGCACTTCCTCATTTTCCCCCCTGGAGTGCCTAGAGATGAAGCGCGAGTTTGATGGCCACTTTCTACTAGGATTCCGTCAAGGCGACGACATCGGCTGCAGATGATGTCCAACGCCCAGCTCTTCACGGCAACCCGGATCGGCTTCTGGACCCCCTGCAGATGGACGAAGGCCCGCAGTGACACGGCTAGAATTAGAACAACTACCCGATAACACAGCAGGGAAAGTAAAACGAGCGCTGCCCGCTGCAAGACACAGGTCAAATCTTAGGCAGACGAAGAATCTGGAACTCGCTTCGCGCGGCTTGGATCAACATGCAGAACCGCTAAACATGCACATGCAACCTGTCCCAAGACAATACAATACGCTATCAGGATACCTCATTGCGACGCAAACTCGGCTGTGCTTGTTATTACGCATCCACGATGGAGCCAGGGTAATTCATAGCAAATAATCATTCAACATCATATACACAAAAGGAAATTCGTTGTTGGCAGTGGGAACGATGAGCGCATAAACTTTGAAACAGACTCCATACACTTATCTGTCATCCCATACGCCAGGTCATGCATCTCATGCCATCTGTCGTGCGTTGTGGTTTTTCTGTGGTCGTGCGTATCTGGATATACATGTAGGAAGGATGGTTGGAGTTTTCTTGAAAGAATCGTATCGAAAGAAAGAGAAGAAGAAACGAGTGGAGAGATCAGATGCAGTGCAAGGGCATTCACATCATCATCCGATACACCAGGTCCGAAGCAAGCTCGGTGGTGGTGTCCAGCAAGGCACGGAAGCCCCGCGCTGAAGGCTTCAATGGCTTGCTCGACGGAGATACAAGATCACTCTCTACTGGTGGAGAGTAGGCCGCCAAATCACGCACCTTGCAGGCAGCAAAGTGCACGACCAGCTTCCGTAGCTCGTTATCCCGCAGCTGTGTAGCGGACGTGGGGGTGATCGGCTCTAGACGAGTAGTCTTGGTGTACGTGTAGTGCAGGAGATCAAGGACCTTTCTGGCCTTGGTGGTGTTAAGGCTATGCTGCTCCTCGTCTTCACTCTCGATGCTCGATTCCGCGAATCCCAGGTACAGCAGGTCACGATGGAGCTTGCGGAGACAAAGCTGGGCCAGCGCAGGGATCAAGTATCGGGTCGCAAAGACGTACAGCTTGGCATGGAAGACCAGGTATGGCAGCTCAAACGGGGACCGAGCAGACATGACGCTTGGAGGCCTCGTCACGGAGCAAGAGCGGGGGTCGACGTAGTCGATGGCTGAGAACTCGTCCCAGAGACTGGTTCCTTTCTCGTTCATCCGAGAGTACTGCTGCCTGGCGAAGGAGGTGTCGATCATTGGACCCGTCTGTCGTCTGGCCGTGACTCCCTGGTGCTCTTTAGACTCTTCCCTCTCCTTCTGCTGTGTCTCTTCCTTCTGGTCTTTGTTGTCCTCTTTGCTGGGGGCGTCTGCCCCATCTTCTGGAGGCGTGGGCGCAGTGTGCTCCCAGCTCTCCGTGGGCGATGAGGCCGCAGGCGCAGTATCAGCTGGCTCCGGAGCAGGAGGTGCCTCTACAGTCTCAGGAGCTGGAGTGGCATCCTCAGACACTGCGTTTGTTTCAGAAGCAGGATTGGCGGCTTCCTCTTCCGGCTTCGAGTTCGAGGGGGGTGGCGTGGATGGAGGTGTCAAGTTGGGCGCGGCTTCCTCTGCGGCCGCTCCCTTCTTCTTTTTCTTGTCCTTCTTACTCTTTTTACCTTTCTTTCCCTTGGATGCATCATCTCCAATGGCGTCCCATCCATCGCCATCATTCTGCTCCGCTGCGGGAGTGGGAGGAGGCTGCTCGCTTGCCTCTTTTGTCGCAGGCGCTGGTTCTTGAGGCTCATCATCCGCAATGGCACACTCCCAGTCGTCATCCTTGCCCGGGAAACTGTGCTCCACTACAGCGGGCCTGTGCTCTTCGTCCGGACGACTCCACCCATCGTCGAGAGACTTTTCGTGGTCGTCCCCATGGGGTTGGTCTACCGGTCGACCAGGGGGTGTCGGGGCCCGCGGAGGAATGGCTGCTGGGCTGGAAGGATCGTTGGAGAAAACGCCGCGAAACGGATTGTTCACGGCCTGCTCCTCACGGTCCTCTTCGCGCGACCCCGGGGGTGGCACACGGTAGTCGCCGGTATAGGCGTACTCGCAGAAGGCGACGAAAGTTTCGACGTCATACTCTTCCAGAACAGCGATGTGGTGCTTTGACTCGCGGGTCTCCCCACTGTTCATGAGATGGTCGAGTGGCTGGGAGACATGACGGGCGAGGCCGGACTGGATGGTAAGCTTGGTGTGGTTGGGGCCGACCAGAAAAGTAAATGGCGGTGAATGGACGATGCTGTATCCATCCAGAGCGTGGTCAGTGGCAGCACTGTGGTGGTTGGCATGAAGCAGAGATAGAAGGAAAGAAAAGAATCAAGCGCAGAAGCCGGACAAAATGGTGTGAGTCATTCGAGAGATCGCAATGGCTAGAGTCCCAATTCTGGTTATGATTGAAGGTTTGCACTCACCTACTAAAGTCCCGATCAGACTCCATTGGCGAAATCTGTTGCGTTCCTTGCGACTACAACAAGAATTGACTTGAAAGCAAAAAAAGGGCCGACAGACAAACGGACTCAGAATGCGATTAATATATGCGATCCTCCAATACTCCTGACTGTCCGCCGAGCTCTCCACTCATACATGCGCCCTGGAAATTTTCCCCTCCGGGTGTCTAGTCCCTACGCCAAAGCAGCTATAGGCGCAGGAGCCGACTAACTGGGTCAAGGCAGTCTGCTACGTGTGCATCGCTAACGGGTTTCGGAGTGGGTTGACCGCCAGCTTTTGCGATGCCAACCAACGGCCCGTTCAGTTCGTCTTATCGCGACCACCAGGTGATGCATGGGCGTCGCTAGCCAGAGATCAGCGTCGTCGGACTGGCTGAATCTTGTAGCAATATCCCCTATCCCTGAGTGTAACATATGTATCCTGCACGGGCTGCAGTAGAGGGGAATTCATAGATTGGTGTTGGGAAATCGCCCGTTAATCCTCATGCCCAACCAGATGCTCGCTCTCAATGCAACAACATCTCACACGAGACAGAATCTGCTCTCCAGCGGCAATGAAACCAACCATAGGAGTCACAGGATGGCTGGGATGGTTCGCATTCCCCACTAACGAGGCCAATCCTTGCCCATGTGCAGGAGTGGGTGTTGTATTGCTGGTTCCAGTCATATTGTTGCCCGATGGGAAGCCTTTTTCATCCCAGCCTCTTAGGGACCCAACGGCGGTCAGCTCATTGGTGTAGAAGTTCAATTGCGGTGGTGGGGGTGGTTGGAGTGCATGGTCAAGTGACTATTTTTGTCCTTCTTATTAATTGAAAAATTTCCATGGAATTATGGTTGGCAGGTTCATTGAACTATCCAAGTGTGCTGATGAATCCAATATTGAATGTTGAAAGTTCAATCTTTTAAAAACGGGTAACTACTAAGTAGCAATGCGGAAGCGTGCCCTAATCCGCAACACCGGGAACTTCCTACACTCTACAGCATCATAAAAATATATAATCGTGTTTCAAGTCAATGCAATTGAAAACGGAAAATAAAAAATCACTATAAAAAGGTCACAACTGTGGACCCTCGCGGAAAATATCCACCATGAACTGAACTAGATAAGTACAATCAGTAAGTAGTTAACTAGTTAGTCCCTTGCTGAAGTGACAGCTAGAGACTCCACTGACAGCACGTTGACCACAAGTACGGATAGATGAACTACTATACTATAGCTGCTTAACAACTCACAAAATATGACTGACGATGGTGTCCATTCAGCGTCGTGGTATTTCATATTAGCATCATGTTTTTCTCCCATTGAGTAGTTTAGAGACCCATGCTTTATGTAATAGAAAAGAATATAAATCAAGAGTGGAAAAGATTGATTGCGCCCTCATCATTCTATCATCAAACCTCTATACTAGTATCACATAGATAATCATGGTATCTCTATACATCCAAAACCCCCCAAATATCATACATAACACACCATCCCCCCCAAATCCCATTCTTCCAGACCACCCATCTAATGAACCAACCTAATCTCCCTACACCCCGGCTCCCACTCCCTCAACCCCTCACCCACACTATACCAAAACCTCAACTTAACACACTCCCTCCTCGCCAACTCAACATCCCCATTATCAAACGCCTCCCCAAGAACCCTCACACACTCCTCCACCCTCCCCTGATTCTCCACCTTCAACTCATTAATCTTCTGCTCCGCAGCCGCAGCATCCTCCCCGGAATCCGTCACCTCCTCAATCGTCTCCTGCACCTCCATGACCTCCATCAACGTCTCCGCATCCAACGCATGCTTCGATGCCCCATCCTCCGCCGTGACATCTATCCCGTGCATCTCGCGCAGGAGGTACTGCGCCCGTTGCAGCGGGTCCAGCAGGGTGCGGTATGCTTCGTTGATGCGCGCTGATAGCGCCTCCGCTTGTTGCTTTTGGGGACCCTGTGGGTATTTGTCTGGGTGGATGAGGGATTGCCAGCGGAGGAATTCGCGGCGGAGGTCGGCGGTGGGGATGTCGAAGGGGGAGGAGGGCGGTGGGCCGGCGGGAAGGGTTTGTTTGAAGATTGTGTAGTGGTTGGTTATGTCGGGGGTGGTGTCGGTGGCTGTTGTGGAGGCGAGGCGGAAGGTATTGATTGTTGGTGTTGGTGATGATGGTGATGATGATGATAGTAGAGATGATGGATGCTGTTGGTGTAGGTAGGAGGTGTGCGGGGATGCGGGTGTGCGGGCTTGGAGAATGCCTGTGCGGGCGAGCCGCGATGCAAGGCGGCTGTTTCGTAGCATTGTGTGCTTCGTAAGGGTTGCTGTGAGGTGTCCTGGTTTCGGTGGACTGTGGTAGTTGTTGGAAAGATGATGCTCGGACTCGGAGATGGCGGTTGTTGATGGATTGTCGGATTTGCCTCGGATTTGTTAGGGCGGTGTGTGGAAATTTCTGGCAGAATGGGGTGGCGGTTGCATGAGGGTCATGTGATATGATGTATGACGTTCACCGCTTTCTATTTGAGATAAGAAACGATGGGATAAGTCCTGTCTCACCATGTCACACTCCATGAACATAGTTAAAAATACAAGACGATGAGATATTGTAAAGCTAGGTTTGATACTGAATAGCGTGGTGAAGATATATTACCAATGAACGATGTATATTCCTTATAAGTCTGGGGCGTGAATCGGATGCTACGCTACAGTGACGAATTGCCTCATCTTCACAGCTGTACTTACGGACTTCACAAGGTGCAATTCATGGGCAGTCATTATCACTTGATTTTCTATAGTACATGTACATCATTCAACTCCCCAGAGCTTCACCGTCCGGTCATGTCCACAACTGGCAATCCACTGGGCATCGGCGCTGATGTCGGTGCTGAGGACATTGCCTGCATGTCCACTCAACGTCTTCACCAACGACCAGTCATCCGCGCTAAAGATATTCACGTTCTTGTCAAAGCCACTGCTCACAAAGAAGGTGCCTGACTTCTTGGGCTGCACAGGCGCCGGCGCTTCATCCGTTGGTGTGGCCCCGTCAACGTCCATGCGGCCCTCCGCAGAGGGAAGGAATGAGTCTGCCTCCGCGCCCTTGTACCATCGGAGATCGGACACCACGCTCTTATGCGCTCCAATGCCACCGCTATTCCGAACTTGACGCAAGTCCCAGCACTTAACCCAGCCATCGCCCGAACCGGACAGCACTCGGTAACCATCCACGCCCCAATCCATTCCAAAGATCTCCCGAATATGCCCCTCCAGAATCATAACCGTGCGGCCAGTCCGGAGATCCCAGATCCGGCCGATGCTGTCCAATCCGCCACTCGCCAGGAGCGAGCCGTCATTGTTGAATGCGACTGTGTACACCTCACGGGAATGTCCTTCTTGCAACAAGAGCTCGGCCGTAGTTTCGACGTCCCACAGCCGCCAGGTGGTATCGTAAGAAGCAGAGGCAACATATCGGCCGGATGGGTGAAATTCTGTTCGGCAGACACGACCGCTGTGGCCAGATAGCGTCGCCAAGGGCTGATCCTTGTCTAGAGACCACAGGCGGACATTTCCTTCACCTCCTCCCGACACCAGATTCACCGTTGACTCCGACACATTCGACGTAGGCAGCGTAGCTCCGGGAAACCATGAAAGCCCACCGACCCGATCATTATGTGCCTGGAGTGACAGCTTCTCTTCAAGGTTAGGCACTGTAAGCAAGCGAATGCCACCGCCCCAGTTACCGGTTGCAATAGTTTGCCCGTCGGGAGAGAATCGACAGATACTGACGGGGCGGTCGCCCGCAATCTGGGACCCATACAGATCGAAGTTGTGTAGCTTTTCCTTGATCGCCTTCCGATGCTTGATATGCGTCCGTAGAGGTATGGTCGATTCCTCCTTCAGTCGGGCCACACGCGCCTTTGCGCGAGGTAACGAGAAACGTGCAATGTCCTTCCGGGCCTGCAAGAGCTCATTGGTGCCCTCCGTATAAAATTCCTCCTGCTGCTCTGCCTCCTCTTCATCGCCTTCACCCATGGCCTCCATCATTTCCACATCGCCCTCTGCCGCGGCCGCTTCCTGTCGTTCTGCCAGATCGGTCAACAATTCCCGCAGTCGGTCTCTTCGATCTGCAGGGCCTTCTCCAAACAATGTAATCGGTTCGCCCAGTTCGCGTAGTCGTGCGCGCACCCGGCCATCATCCGTCGGGACGGCCATGGCTGCGGCTCTTCGCTTCCTTTCAAACTGTGACAAGATGGCTGACGCTCTTTCGGCGGGAATGCCCGCTGCGGCGGAGGGGAGGTCATAATTGCGGTCGACGGCTAAACAAATTGGTGATAAGCAAAGGGTACATCATAGATGACATGGCGACATAGGATTTTGATAGAGGCGCAATACTTACGGATGTTCGCCAAGTCAATGCCCATGTCCGTGTCCTGGAAACGACGTCAGTATATGCAATGTCAACAGAGGAATCTTCCGGCGCTATTCTATAGAAGCGCCAGGAAAATAAACAGATAATGATGAAGAGGATTGCCCACCTCAGCTTCCTCCACGTACGCCTGTCTCGACGGGTGCATCATGATGGGCGCAGTGGGTGGGGGGTGCGCAGATACTCCGACAGTTTGGATCCGACACGAACAGTCACGGTTGATTCGAATGGGATCGGAGATTGAAACGGTTATCCAAAAGAGATCCGTCCAGACGCGCGATATTATAGAGAAGCTGGAACAGAATGGGGGATTGGTATCAGGTAAGATGTAGGAGTGGAAAGACAAGCGGAGGCCGAAAAGCAACAAAACGGCGGCACTTTTGCTTTCCTTCCTTTCTCGGATTTCTTCTGGCAGCCCGAAAAAGGCGGCATCCACCATTCGATCGCAACTTCCCTCGCCTCTCTCGTGACTGTTCTTTCCTCTTTTTTGTTCTGTTCTGGCCGTCTGCCTTACACGGTGACACTAGCATGCACGATGACGACCACCTTTTCAACTCTCTATTACCCAACTCAGCGGTGTGCTGAATCGGTGAGTTTAATCAAGTCCATGGTTTTACTCTGGAGCTGCTCCGCGCCCGGAGTATCTACGCTCTTTCCTCTCCTCCATATGCCTCTCAGCATCCCCTCTGCCTTCCTACGTCGATTTCTCTTTCCTTTCTCCGATCAGGCAAGCAACCAGGAACTAATCAGCGACCAGCCTAAACAATTCGCCGATCTGCTTATCCGGAATTCCTCTTACTCCTCGATGCTCGCGGAGGCGGTCGATGACGCCAGGCGGTCGGGAGTCCCGTCGGGCCCAGCAACCTGAAATTTCCAGCTTGGATCGCCTCGTCTCTCCCCTTCGCCTGGCCTCACATAATCCCCGACTTTTTTTTCTCTTTGATAAGCCGGCCATTTTTGGCCCTGTCGTGACCTCTCCACTCTTTCAATTCCCTGGCGGCTGTCTCGCTCGCCATTTCGCATGCTCCCCCGGTCTCCCTGCTCCATCCCGACTACTTCCTGTTCCTGCTGGCACAGACAGGATTCAAGGTGACGATCCGGTCCTTCGCTGATGATCGCACTGGCGTCTTCCGGTAGAGCCTGCAGTGCAGCCTGCAGTAGCCTACACGCCGTTGTTAGGGACGGCTTCTTGGCCTCTGTCTCGGCTCCGAAATCCTCTGGCCTCCGATACCCCCTCGTCTCCTCCCTCGCCTCAACATCTCGTTCCCCGCGATTCTCCCGCCGTGCTTTTCATTCCACGTCGCCGTTAGACTCGGCGACTCCGCGAATCTCATATCGCGTCGCCGCGTCCTCTTCCGGTAAAGGACGCCGGTTCCATCCGGCCAAAAACACCTATAACTTCACCCCCGACCTCCACGAAGCCATTGGGGTCGCAACAGACACAGAGAACAAGGCGCTCCGGCGAAAGAGGAGGCCTGATAGTGGTGAAGATGCGTTCTTCGTGAGCAGAGTCGGCCGAAAGGACTCTGGCGCAGTAGCCTTTGGAGTCGCCGATGGCGTGGGCGGCTGGGCTGAGTCGCGCGTCGATCCAGCAGACTTCTCGCATGCGCTATGTGGCTATATGGCTCAGTCGGCCATATCCTGGGAGTCGCCCGTTGAAGAATTACGGCCAAAGAACCTCCTTCAGACCGGATACGACCAGGTCGTAGCAGATGAGACGATCCGAGCCGGAGGCAGCACCGCGTCAGTCGGCGTGGCATATCCAGACGGACGAATTGAGCTGGCCAACCTGGGCGACTCGGGCTCTGTTCTTCTTCGCCTTGCGGCCGTCCACCATTACACCGTCCCGCAAACCCACGGGTTCAATACCCCGTACCAACTCAGCATCATTCCGCCGCGCATGCGCGCTCAGGCGTCCATCTTTGGCGGCGCCTTTCTCGAGGACTTCCCGCGCGACGCGGCCGTCACCAACCTCCACATGCAACACGGCGATGTCCTCATCCTAGCCACTGACGGTGTTTTCGACAACCTCAACAATCAAGACATGCTCAAGCTCGTCACGAGTCGCATGGTACTCACGGGCGCCTGGACTGCCGATCCCGACGCTGGCATCCGTCCCTCGGAGGATCTCAAACAACTAACCAGCCCAGAGGGTCTGTCTTCTCTCCTTCCCACGCCATCTTCTTCACCCTCCTCCGACCCCGACTCTCCGAAATCATCCTCCCCCAACACGCGCCAGCAGACCTACACCCTTCAGTCCCTCATCGCCGTCACGATCGCCGGCGAGGCCAAACTGGCCAGCATGGACATGCGTCGTGACGGACCCTTCGCCAAGGAAGCCCAGCGCTACTACCCCGGTGACTGGTACCGCGGCGGAAAAGTCGACGATATCAGTGTGGTGGCCGTTGTTGCCGTGGACGAGGGATACTCAGGGTGATGAGAGGTGTTTCTGCAAAAGCGAGGCTTGTCAGCCTCCCGTATAATATTTCTTTCTTTTCTTCTACTGGACTTTTGTTTCATGAACGACTTCCATGCACATGCACATGCATGCATTTTCATGCCGATACCTATACCTACACACCTCTTCTATACCTACACTTCCTGCTTGGATTATGTCATTCCTATATACACACACAGTGATACACTGTTGTACCTTTCCTTTCCCATTTCTTTCTCCGGCGATCATCAGGTATACTTTTCTTTTCCTTATTGGTCTCGGTTCAGGGCATATATATTGGTTAAAAAACAGGTAGAGACGGATGAAAACAAGGTATAGAACTTTATTATTATTGATAGACTTGACAAGTGAAACTTCATACCAGATATTTTTACTTAGAGGAGAGTAATACATAAAATACTGAGTACTCAGTTATGACATAAGCCCTTAGATAGATGAATAGATAAATAAAATAACTACTTAACCCCGCATCCATCCCACACAGCACAACGGGGGAAAGCAAGGGGAAAAAAAGCAAAACAAAGAACATGAACAAGCACGATGAGTATACAATTTCGATTCATCTTTTCGCAAAGCTGAAAACAACAAAGAATAATAACATCAACAACAGCAGCAGTAGCAGCAGTAAAACCTGGTAATTAAGCATCGATGATATAACCTCCCTCTTTTCAATATTAAAAAGAAAGCAGAAGCAGGGCGGGAAAGTTTCGAGTGGGTGAGTGGGTTAGAGGTAAATTCAAGGAAAGAGTAAGTAAGAGTCTTTCTTCTTGCTTGTCAATCAATCCCTACTCGTGGAATCGGGCATACTGGGTATTGGTGTTGGTGTTGATCATTTTGAGGTCCGGAGAGGGGGAATATGCATCTCGTTCTCCACTCCACTCCACTATCAATTAAGAAAGATGGACATGGATGATGGATGTACATATGGTACTCCGTAGTGGGCAAAAGAGATGATGGTGAAAGCTTTCCCATGATAAAAGATAAGGGCGTTTTCAACGACGCTTGCATGTATTTGACTTTTTTCCAGCTTCGTGAATTTGATTCCAAGAGTAAGGAGAAGAGAAAGAAGAAATGGGGGATTTGGATGGATTGGATAGTAAGAAAAGAAAAAAACAAGACAACGCAGAGAGGAGTCACAGCACAGAGGCCCATAAACTAAGGCAAGTAAACAAAACGCCACAATCAATGTGGGTGGTAACAACGGCAAACAATTTCCATCAGCATCACATTTATGCTGCTGTCTCCACCGGCTTGTCTTCCGTCTTCTCATTATCAGCCTTCTCCTCTGTCTTCTCAGCATCGGCCTTTTCCTCCGTCGCCTTGCCCTCGGTTGGCTTCTCTTCGCTAGACTTCTCCGCTACCTTCTCCGTCGTAGCCTCTTCGGTCTTGGGAGCTTCCTTCTCAGCCTCCTCCGTAGCCGGCTCAGGGGCCTCTGGCTTCTCTGCTGCATCGGCATCAGGCATCGGCTCATCCTGCGGCTCCGCAGTGTCAGCCTTGCTCTCCTTGGTATCATCCTCCTTCTCGTTCTCGGTATCACCCTTAGCCGGTGTCTCAACGCTGCTCTCCTTGTGGACACCGTTGGCCTTGGGCTTGTCTCCCTTCTCCTTGTCATCCGAGGGTCCGGTGGCATCCGCATCCAGCAAGTTCTTCCACTTGGACAGAATGCTCATCGCACGGGCCCGGAACTGGAATTCCTCGTCGCGAGGGATGGAGCTGAGCTTGACGATCATCTTCAAAACCTTGTTGATCTTCGTGGCACGAATAATGGAGACTTCAAGGTCCGCGTGCTTTTCAAGTTTGCCGAAGAAGTTGGACATTTGAGTCATTTCTTCCTCCTTGGGTGGCTGGTCGCGAGAAATGAATCCCTTCTGAAGCTTGTGACGGATGAAGAGAACTAGTCATCATTAGCATAACACGTTCCTAGGCAACCAGATTGATTCCACACATACTCTCTTTCTCCTTCTTGTCCTTGGCTTCCTCCTGAGTCAGCTTCTTCTCGGGCTCCTTGGATTCCGCGCGAGACTCCTCTCCATCATCACTAGCAGCAGCCTTAGCGGCCTTCTTGCTGCTTGCGGTTTGCTTGCCCTTGGAAGCAGGGGCCTTCTTTCCAGATTCACTGGCCGGAGTCTTGGGGGTAGTCAACTTCAATTTCGTGGTGGTTTTGGGAGTCTTCGCAGGCTAGACGGGAATAAGTCAGCTCCACAGTCACCCAAGTTCAGCATGACGGCTCTCTCCTACCTTCTCATCGCTCTGGGCCTCAGAGTCGTTGTCCTTCTTGCGCTTCTTGGTGCTCTTGGGCTTCTTCGTCTCCTCATCAGCATCGTCCATGTCGACATCTTCGTCATCGACCACGTCCATGCTCTTGCGCTTGTTCTTCTTGGCCTCACGCTCTGCCTTGGCGGCGGCCTTGGCAGCTGCCTGGGCCTCCCTTTCTTCGATCTCCTGCTCCAGAGCACGCTGGTGATCTGCCAGCAGGTCCTTGAAGTGCTGAAGGTCATGGCCCTCAGCACCCACAGCATACGCAGCCAAGAGAGTTTTCGACTTGCCCTTCTCCGACACCTCCTTGCAGCCAGCAGCATCGATAGGGGTCAGATCGGTGTTGGGGATCCACGCGCTATGGTCTTCGTTAACCAAATCGATGTCGCAAGCTTCATCCAAGCTCAATGTAGTGTTACTCACAATTCGTTCGTCTCAAAGAACATAACTGGGAAGGTCCGCTCGTGAGCGCGTTTGCCGCCATCGGCGTAGTCCTCCCTGTAGGTTCCGTCGGGGCGCTGAGCCGTCACGGGACGCGTGTTCAACAGAGTTTGAGGGAGCATTTCCTCGTCGCAGATGATGGAGGGCCATGGGGGAAAGCTCCTGAGACGCGCCAGGTAGTACTCGCCGGGCTGTGCGTTCAAATGTGTGGTACGGATCTGGGACTTCTTTCTGCTCAGCTTAGACTTGTGCTCGGGCACGGTGCCAGTCGATTTCCGCTTCGCGGCGCCAGACTTCTTAGCGGATGCGGGTGTTCCGTTGGCCTCCGATGCTGGTGCGGCTTCGGGCTCTGCAGGCGCGGCCGCACTCTCATCGGACTTCTTCGCGTCGGTAGACTCGGCGGGTGCGCTCGATTCCTCGGCCTCTGCTGGGGCGGGCTCTTTCTTCTCCTCTTCAGTGGCAGTTTCGGTCGCTATTAAGCACGGGGCGGGTGATATTAGCGAGCGCCACTAGGCAAGACCGCGACGAGAGAATAGGGCGTGGTGTTGGGGTAGCTTACCAGATGGCTTGTCCTCAGGACCATTGGTCTGCTGCTCTTCCTTCTCCTTGGAAGGCTCTTGCGCAGTCTCAGCAGCAGCGGGCTGGGCATCAGAGGGAGCGCGTTCGACGGACGACTCACCGGCGTCGGGGGCGGGCGCCGAGGCAGCAGGGGTATCCTCGGCCATGATGCGCAACCGGGAGTCGGAAATTAATCAGGAGGGGGGAATGAAAGGAGGATGCGAAGGAGAAGAGGATAGACGAATCCTTCTGATGAGAAGAAGGTTTGGGTGGGGGGAAGGTTCGAGGGGAAGGGTAATGCGGTGGAAGGAGGAGGAGGAGGAGAGTGAGAGAGAGAGTTGAGAGCGAGCGAGCGAGAGGTGGTGGTGGAGAAGGTCGCGACGCCGGGAGGCGGGAAGTCGACAACGCGTTGCACTTCTTGGGGTGGGAAAGCAAAGCGGCGCTGCGCCCAGTCCGTAAATGACGCAAACGCTTCAACGACAAGACACAAATTGATCAATGTCAACCACCACAACTGGTCTTGACAAGTAACACTGGCTTTCTGGAGTTGTCCTCAATAACCCTTGTATTAGCGACTGGGCAGGAGGGGGATCCTATCACGGCAGACCGCTGTGTCGTGTCTCGGAGCGCTTGTGGCAACTGTAAGACAGAGCTTCCAATAGGGGGGTCGTTGCTGAGAAGCGTGGCGTTTCTCCCAAACGTAGAATCGATGGGTGAATCCGATCAAGTCCCCTTCAAAAACACGGCAATACAGGGACGCCTGTGGTGATGAATGGATGGATGATGGTGATAGCTGCTAATGGGCCGTGACGCGAAAACTCCCCGACGATTGACGATCCTCCAGCAGCCGGAAACGCGAAGTCGCTGCTGCTGCACCACAACGACACGGAGCTTTCAAAAGCAGGAAAGAAACAGCCAAGGGGCTATTCGGAAATTGGCGACAGTAGAATCGTCGTGATGAACATCCACGGATGAACCGCAGTCTGCTCGTCTGCTTGGATCACCGAGACAGCGAATAATATCACTGTCAATTCAAGAGATGTATAGGACTCAAAATAGAGTGCACACAAGTACTTCACGTTGAGACACAACCTGTTCACGGCTTTAGTATCTTCTCTGCAAAGGACATACAAATCGCAGACTCACCTGGAGCTAGCACTTCAGTCGCGCACCGCCGAATCCGATCACTAGTAGTTTGAGGATGTTGAGGAACACCAGAAACCCCGCGGTCGCAAGGATCTGCAAGATTCGGACGAGGAGTTGAAGGTAGGTGAACAAGCAAGTATATCGGAGTCAAATCTCACCCGGAATCGACACTGGATCTTGGAGAAGGTAGAGTCGACGGGTGAGGAGGAAGTAGGGGTGATGGTGAGAATGCGTCTGTAGTTGTTTGGTCGGGGGGAACAAGGCAACAAAAGGGAAAGACGGATGGTGACGCCAGGAGAAAGAGTTCCCTCGCTGGCTGCCAAACCAGCCATCCTAAATCTATATCCCCAGTACAACACTCAACTGACCTTTTGTTCCCCCACTTCCACATTGGGATTTTACAGGCTTATTCCGAGAGTCTTGCTCGTTCCATTGACTCCGTGCGTTAAAGGGCGGGACAATAAGCCTAGTAAAGTGTTCCCCATCTACAACACCCGTCCGGCACTTGTCGAGTCAGTCCCCACGCAAGTAACACTGACAATCAATACCTTGCCAATCCTTCTCGTCGTGTACTACAAGCAGAATTTTAAATGATCCCATCTGTTCCTTCTCTTCCCAGCCACCTGGAGGGTATCTTTCGTGTTATTCTGTTCTGACGTTCATTCATCCCATTCATCAACCCCCCGCTTTCCTGCTTCATTCGTCTTCTAGTTCTACTATATAGCAATCATCTTGATTTGCGCACGATGTTTGACTTACACAGGAAAAACTAAAAGTCATCCGAAACCCATTCATCAAGTTGAGGAGAGATAAAAATTAAATGCATTGTCTTTGATCAAAAGCAGGTCGCCATATACACAGTAGGGGGTGTTCGGAGCATATGGATGATCGAGGGAGAGTAGGCACGGACAGTAAGAATGAATAGTACGGCCCCAACGACCGACCGGCGGTACCATCAATGTAATTAATACAGATCAAGAGTCATGACAGGTTCATAAAAACGAGGTGAGAAGGCATTTCCAGAAGGGTATCATGCAAGTCCACGGTATATATGTAGGAAGACAAGCTACTCTCGAGGCAGCGCAAACTCGCTCACCAAGGAAGGGAAGTATGTTCAGGCAATCCCTCATCATCAGTCCACCCATCAGCCCCTTCGAATTCTTCCATTGCGGCCGGCACCGGTTTATGGATACGAAGAGCCCAGAGGAAGTAGTCTTCCAGGGGAAGCAGGTTCAGCAGGATGCCGTTGAATTTCCACCCAAGAGCACACACCGTGGCACCGGCCACGGCGTCCAGAATGAAATGGTTGGCAGTCGCGACAATGGCGGCCAGGATGACAAATGGATAAGCAAAGCCCATGGCCAGGCAGACGAGTCGGCGCCATGACGGAACCTGCAGCCCGACAGGGCCAATCGCGATGCGCGAGCGCCGACGATGATGTGGCGGCAGCGGTATGGTCATGATCGTGAGACCAATCATCAGAGAGTAGCCGAAATGCAAGGAGGGCATGGCGGCTGTGGGTGTTTTGGTCAGCGGTCTCCTCGCCCAGATGGTTCCCGGATTGAATACTCACCGTACTGGTTGCAGAAGCGGTTTTCGGTCCAAACGCTGCCTGCACCGTTGACGCCATGCACCGTATCCACAAATCCATAGCTACGACCCCGAGCTGCATCAGGACCCTGCGCGTCCTTGTCGCTCAACAGTCGAGGTGGCATGCAGGGCCACAAAGTAAACACCACGAACGCAAGCAGATTGCACACGGCAAGTGTTCGACGACGAGCTTGATAGAGGCGCGGGCCTGCGGGCGAGCCACTCATGAATCCACGAGGCTTGCCAGGCTGAGATTCATCGTATCGGTTTCTAGTGGTCGTGTAGTAGTAGAGCCAAACGAGGAAGGCAATGGTTCCCGGGATATGAATGAAGGAGTAGATCCAGTTTGTCCACATCATGAGTCTGGTGTGCCGGAGGAAGAACCGCTGTATAGGAACCTCCAAGAATAGTCCCAGCGCCTCTTCAACCTGTATCAGCTGTAGCGCATGTTTCCTCGCCACGTCGACGGTGCCTTCTTGCAGCGTAACGGCAGTAAAAGCTCGACCTAATTGGTATGTCTATGCCATAACATTAGCGATTGCCACATAGGACCTGGAAAGCAAGTAGTTGTTGTGGACTCGAGTAAAGCAAGTGTAGGGAACACAGGGTTCGAAAATCATACCCAGTACACTAACGCCCAGTACCAGCATTCGACTAAGAAAGGGAACTTGCGTAGGAGGCGACTAAGCAGGCGATCTTGGAAGACGATGGTGTTTGGAGAGGTGACCTCCAAGGTCGACGAAAAGATCCCCAACTGCCTCTTGCGCCACCGACTCTGGCCATCTTGTAAGAGTGCCGATGAAGATGAGGACAAGCGACGAGACAACAGGCCGTCCTTTGCGGTTGGTGTGGACAGTCCGGACTCTGTCGCATCCGGAGAGCTGCCACGTGAAGGGATGCTGGATCTGCGGCGGGTTCTGCGTGCAGGGAACGATCCTGTTGTTCGGTTGATCCAGGTACCTCCAAAGAGAAGGACGATGACCGTCAGAGGCTCGAGGAACGCTCCTACTCCCATGATGGTGTGACCTCCTCGGGGTGGAAAATAGACGCGCTATACCGGGGAGGAGAAGGAGGGAATAGTCGACTGTATTGGAAAGGGAAAGAAAATCAAGGGTGAGGATTAAGACTAATGAAGTACAAAAGACCAAGCAGCTCCAAGATTCCAAGCTGGAATGCTGCGGGGCAAGCTATAAAGAGTGAAGCACAGAGACACAAGGCTTGGTGGACAGCGAGAGCATCGTCAGGTTAGCAAAGCCAACCAGACAACAACAACAAACCGGTAGGAAGGAAGGGCGGGCTGAATTATCCCGCCTAATAGCTTGAATTAGTAGCAGTAGCGTGAAGTATTGCTCTCTGAGATGGGCAGCAGTGGGGGGCGGCACTTATGTACCTTACGCAGTGCAACCTAGTAGCAGATGGTACTAGTAGGAACTTGCTTGCGTCTTTGGGGGGGTGTGGGTATTAGTAGATAATCATTAGTTGATTAGTTATGAATTAGTTAGGTAGGTAAAGTAAGTAAGTCGTACGTAGGTACTAGGTAGGTACTACAGGGAGAGAGAGGGAGAGAGAGAGAGACAGAGAGAGGGTCTCAGCCCAGCCTGACCTGCTTGGCTGTAGAAATACTAGTCAAGTACCAAAAAAGCAGCAGGCATGTAACCAGTCGAAACCACCAACCCTGAGTGGGCAGCGAAAAAAATAAGGGATCGCTCCTCACTGGATTGGATGACATGGCTCTCCAGAGTGGGTTTCACCGGTTCTTCGGTGTCTGACTTGGTTGTGTTTGGCCAAATTAGGCCCCGTTAGCATCGCGTTTCCATGTCGTGATAATTAACACATGCTGGAGATCGGGCCAGCAAACCAAGGAACCACAACCACTACTTGGCTCAGAGAGAACGCCATCGTCGGAGCTTCCGGATGCCGAATCAAACAAAGCCATCCGTTTGGGGGAGGGGGAAAGGAGACGAACCTCTGGAAAGGGACGGCAGAAAGGGTCAAACATCCGCGTTCCAGTAATCATACCAATTAAATCTGACCTCCTATTTTGGACCTGGATGCTACTTTTCACCCTGTTAGAATGTCTATTAGTAACTTATTGGGGGGGGGAGGAGTATGGGTGAAGTCACAAAGAAAATTGCTTTGTCGGTATCACCCAATTAGGCCCATTAAGGTTTGTCAAAAAGGTCGAGGAAGATCCACGAACATGGGTCCTTGCTCCCACTTGCTGGGCCTTACTCTGTACTGGCGGTGACAGCAAAAAAAGTGACCTGCTAATACGGTGTAAGTATTTCATGGTTCAATGGTAAGAATCATTACCAGATTTGATCAGTCCGTCTCTCAGCCACTGCAGGGATCTGGCCGTCGCGACCAGACGATCCTCGTCACGACTAGTATTGTTACCACAACTATGTTCCCAGTCAGACCAGCTGGAGCTATTTCCATTGGCTGGAAACCCAATGTCAGCCGCATCCACTTCCCAGTTCGGTAATTACCTACCTACATCATGCTCGCAAGCTAGTAAGCTTACGGAAAGACGTCACATGAGTCAGCGGAATGTTGGCCAGGATGGGCAGGAAAGCACGCTGCACAAAAGACGGCACGAGAAAGTTTGCCGATAAATGGACGACGAAGGAGATGAAAATACTGAAGTATCAATTCATTCAGTCTATGTTGCCTATCTGTGAAGTGCTCAGATTACTTTGGATAGATGTACTTACTCCCCTCCCGACGAAGCCTAGTAGAGCCTTTACGTACTCGATCCCTAATACGATACGATGTAAATACTGGCCCTACAGGGTCGAGGCTTCCAGCCTTGTTCTCAGCCAGTCCACTTTCTTGCTTGGCGATCCCAGTGAGCGGAATCTAGACTAAGTAGATATTGATTACTTCGTTTCTGGTCCTGCTTTCTTTGTGGGAACCCCCCTGCTCTCCCCTTGGTTCCACGGTAAATTGTCCTTGCTCTCTACAACTCTTCATGACCCTTGTCGGGTGGAAACCCGAAACGCCTCCAGGACGTGCGATGACATCGTGACAGTCTTCCCCTGTATGTTTATCGAGCGCCTCAATTATCCGATCAGCGTTCGTATCTCTCCTAGAAACCCAAGATTCCGAAGCCACTCCCGTATCACTACTTTTAAAAACCAACTCAGACGTACAAAAAGCATCACGGCAGGTTCCCGACCTTAGTGTTAGCTTAACTACAGAGCTGGCGCATGATTTGCAACCCTTCCCGTCTCGACCACGGGATGATTTCCAAGGCAGGAGAAGTCCAGATGCATAAAAACCCGCATAAATCACATTATCCTTAGTACTATGGAGTAACGCCTAGCAACCAGGGACTTCGTATAGCTTCCGAGAGCTCCGCAGAGGTCGACAAACATCCGTTTCCGTGGTCCTAGTCTGTTCTCGTCTCATCCACTTAGTTCGACGGTTTGCCTTCCTGATCATCAATCCACCCTGTGAGTTGAAGCGGGGTTACCACGTTCCGTGCACCGAAATTGTCACTATTCTTAGTGATCCCACCCTCAGTCCTGCGAGACGGCTGGTGCGATCGCCCGTATACTTCACAAAAGGTGCAGAATATTGTAGGCAATCACTTTTTGTTTTCTATTTAAATATCTAGTATTGTGCACGTGCTCCAACGAGACTGTCCTCTGGAGTACTTGTAGGCAGACAGATAAGCAACCTACATGCAGTATACATGCGTTAGGTCTTTGAGTCTGTGTGACGGTCGCCTTTTTGTTGACCCAACCAAAGTTTCATTTTATTGACCAACCAGTAACTTTTCCGTCTTGTTGAGGTAAAAAACATGCGATTTACTACTATAGGGGGACTGAATATTATTATTGTTATCAATCATCCTCGTCGGCGATCGGAAGACTTCCGCTCCGTGCCAAGTGCCGACCCAAACCCCGCTTGCCTCCGAAGCTCCGTCGCCAATACTTTCCCTTCAAATGCGGCCCTGGAGAAACTCTACTGGGAGGATCCTGTATCCATGGACCCTCAATCGTTGTTGCTGAATCGGTGCCTAGGTGCTATGAAGCTTGACCCGAATACTAATCATTCTACCTCGGCGCGGGAAGATCGTTGGGTCCATACCGACCAAAGCACCGTCTACTTGCATGTGTGCTCCTCCTATCAAATGCCTAATAGGTGTTCTTGTGTCGATGGATATCAGTAACAGGATATTTTTGTTTTTTTTGACCTGATTACTCAAGCACTATCAATTAATTAAATGGATCATTAACTACTCAATATACAGGCTTACCGGATATATCAAATGACGTCATTTAAGCGTGCCTTTGCCATCCTGACTTCATCGCTATTCCCATTCATCCAACAAGTAGCAATGAATTTTGGCCAGTGAACACATAATACTGCTCAGGGGTACACAAAAGTTCCGCAATGGAGGGGAATAATGGGTTCTTATTGCTTATCGATCAGTGCCTTCTCCTAACTGTCAACCGGTAGGGACCAATGATTGTCACTGTCACCTCCACGTCTCAACGATGAGCTATCCTTTACGTCAGTCTTTTGTGACTCCTGACATGACCGGATCCAGGTTAACAGAGATGAACACATACTATAAGGAACCGAAGCCTCTGATGTGCTTGCACTATCCAGTATCAGTCTTAATGGAAATTCATACATAGTGTCTCAATTCACTCTGCTTGATACACCCTTATCCAGAGCATAATATCAGTCTACATAATGTTTTCAACACTATCCCGCGTTGCCCCAGCCCCGTCGAGGAACATCCTCCAGCATGCGTCGCCGCAGATTCCCAAAGTTGCCGCATTGACGGCGGCTTCGCGGGCGTTTTCTTCCACCCCTCCTAGTAAGAAAGAAGTCACATTGCTTCAAGACAAGAAAAATGGATTCGGATTTGCACGGTCGAATCCTCGACCTCCGAAGCCACGGACGAAGGGGGTCACCGAAATCAGAGGCCCATACTATACTGTATGCGATGTCACCGCACAGCCTGGCGAGAGTGCTCGCCCCTAAAGCAGAGAGCTGATCCGTAATCGTAGGTGATGGGTAAAAGATACTTGGCGGACGTGCTTGAGACGTGAGCAGTACCCACCACTTCTGCCACGGGACTGGGTTCTGATCAATGTTCAACAGGATGGGAACACATGTCGACGGCTTAAAGTTTGCAGGAGGTAAAGCTGCCGCTGAACTGGTGGGACAGGAGACAAATACTAAACCGCCTTCTAGGATCATTCTCTCTCTTTCCAGAGAAACCCCTAAGGGAACTGACTGACCTTGCTCATGACTACGGTGTCTATGTCTCGACCGTAAGGCTCTTGCTCGGAAGAGTTCGCCTGTATGGGCTTGCTAATAGTGGCTTCTTCATAGGGCGGATGGGCTGAACATCTACTCACTCACCCGGACGCGAATGCCGTCTTTGACAAATATCTTCGCAAGTGCAAGGACTTGGGGTACGGTTATTTTTATGCTCATGCTCGCTTGAAAACTAGCTCATCCAACTAATTTCCCTCGGCAGATTCGATGTGATTGAGCTCTCGTCCGGCTTCCTGTCCTTCCCTGAAGACGACTGGCTGCGACTCGTCGATAAGGTTCACTCGTACAAGCTAAAGGCGAAGCCCGAATTAGGGATCCAGTTCGGTGCTGGTGGTGACACTCCGGCATCTGGCTTGGAGGCGATTGGCACTTCCGACCCGGCCAAGCTGGTGAACATGGGGCGCAAGTTCCTCGACGCAGGTGTCGAGCGCCTGATGATCGAATCGGAAGGGATCACCGAGAATGTACAGTCATGGCGGACTGATGTGGTGTCCAAGATCATGAAGGAACTTCCCCCGGAGCGCGTCATGTTCGAGGCGGCAGATCCCAAAGTGTACAACTGGTATATCCGGGAGTTTGGTATTGATGTGAATCTGTTTGTGGATCATAGCCAGATTGTGCAGTTGTCATGCTTGCGCCATGGGATCTGGGGCACGGCTGATACCTGGGGCAAGATTGTATCGTTCCGGCCAGAGTAAACGGACCAACTCGGCCGTAGAGGGAGTGATGTGAGCCGTGCGGGTCATGCCATACATCGGAGGAAATGTACGAATGTAGTTATCAAGGCCGTAAATAGCCACTAGTCGCCAATAATGCCATCGATGGTTTGAAATCGAAGCAAGTTGCCCGATGAAGATCCATTATTCTTAGTCAGCACCGGCCCCCCAATTGGCGGCCCCGACTCAATCCGGGGAAAGCGGCCAAGCATCCCATCATCCTTCCGTTCTGGCCATCCTTCTCTGCTTGACTCGCCATCTGCCTGTGGGCATATCTTTGCCGTTCTGGCTCTCTCCCGTGTGCTAGAGAGATGTTCAATCCAACACTCGGCTAGTCAGCCTGGGTCTTGACACAAACCCCCCTCATCACCGGCCAGACCGACCCCGCGGTTTGCCCCTGCAGGCGGTCTGCACCTCTTCTCCTCGTCAGGTACATCATTTTGCGATTGTGGCTCGAGCGGATTTACGGGCCCGGATCATCAGACGCTATATCAGTTTCATGCACCATCATGCCTAAAGCTAATCCACCCCCTGGGGCCCGACTCCGCTGCAGACGCGCCTGCGATAGTTGCAAGCGGAGGAAACAAAAATGCAACGGCGAACAGCCATGCACGATCTGCATACAACGGCGCAAAGAGTCCGAATGTCACTTCTCCGACAAACCGGCGAGACTGCTCAAGCCGAATAGCAGCAGCTCCAAGGACACCATGCTTCTCAGCGAACGCTTAGTTCCGACCCCACAGCGTCAGACCGCCATGGACCGACTCTTGAACTCGCTCGAAGACCGGAGTGCCAATATGGAACAACAGGCTACGGATGACAAGGATGGGACGGCGCCCGTGCCCAAGGTGGCTAGGCTACTGCGTGATGGACAAGGCAAATTCATGTACGTTGGCGACTCCGCCAGCTTGTCATTTCTACAGAGCGTGCGGAGGATCGTGTCGACCTCGATTGGCCGATGCGAATTCACGGAGGACAACTCGCGTCATTCGATGCTGGAGGCGTTCCAGAGTGGCTCTACAACGCATACAGGGCCTTTGATATCGCCACCCAGCAACGAAGAGGCTCAGAGGCTCGCGCGCCAGTTTGTGCTTGCTACGAGCCCGCTGTTGGATCTGTTCGACCTTAATGAGTTTCACCCCCGGCTTGCGAATTGGGTTGAGAATCCGACGGGTGATGAAGACACTGTCAGTTCGATTTTCTATCTCGTGCTTGCGATTGGCGCGCAGGTGTCCGATATCAATCAAACCCTGGCTGAGCAGTACTTCGTCAGCGGCCGTCAATTGGCGTTTTCTGCCTTCACGGAAACCCCGAGTATATATACCATCCAGTCGTATGTTTTGATCTCAATGTACATGCTGGGAGCCTGTCGACGCAACGGAGCTTTTATGAATTTGGGAATTGCGCTTCGTGCCGCGTATGCGGTTGGAATTCACCGGAAAGACGCGAATGCGCTTTTCTGCACCCGGGAACGGCGGGCTCGAGAACGGGTGTGGAAGAGTCTTCGTATGATGGATCTGTACCTTTGTGCCTCCTTAGGACGTCCTCCTGCGACACTAGACTTTGACTATGATCTGCGTGAAGAGGGGATTTCGCCAGGGGAGCAACAGCGCCTTCACCCGGACGAGCAGTTGTCCATGACGGTGATCTCACTGTGCCGGATCTTCGAACGTATCCTGACCGAAGTCTATATGCGACAAGTCGTCTCGATTAACGTCGCAGAAACCATATCGAATCAACATCGAGCTTGGGTGCGCAATCTTCCAGTGTTTCTGCAGATGCAGACTGAGCGGCTGGATTCCAAGACGCTGGAAGGCACCTTGTCCGCTGCGCACATCTTTGGCTCATACTACTGGTCGATTATTCTTCTTACTCGGCCGTTCCTCATCTTCCGAGTGTCCCAATATGTGCGGAATAGGACTGAGGCAACAGGATCCTCCGACGGCAGGGCCAGTAACTCCCGCATTGCGTTATTTGCCGACGCATGTGTGTACTCTGCCTTGCGCGGACTCAACATCGTAGATGACCTTTCTCGCTACAACACCCTCCCACGCAGATTGCCATTCCTTATCAATTCCGTCTTCAACTCGGCCGTGGTGCTGGGAGCCGCTTTCTTTGCTGACTACGACAATTTGCTCCCGCTTGAGGAAGGCATGGACAAGGCGGAGAAATTCCTAGGCCTCTTCGTACCCCACGACCCACACGCATGTCGTTTCTTTCAAATCATCAAGTATCTTCGAGGCGCAGTGGCGGAGTATGTTCGTCGACGGAACCGCCATTGGATGGAGCGCCGCAGCCGACAAGTCGACCAGCTCTTCGGCCAAGTCGGGCCCGCCAAAGAAACTCCCATTGCCGAAACAAATACCCCGAGCAGTCATCGCGGAGAACCCACCGCTGTACCATCTCCTTTATCCCCCGACAAACTCACCGGAGCTTCTGCTTCTCAGCCGCCCGACCTAACTACAAGCACCACTACCGCCACTGGCCCAACCGACAGTGACATCTGGGATACGCTCTATGGCGCGCAAGGCGCCGACACGCTACCATACGACACCGCAATCTCCACCCTCACAACAACCGGAATTCCCATCGGCTGTTCCCCAGGCGGTACCATCCCTTCCGGTGGAATGCCTCCGGATGCTCCAGGGGCGCAAACGCCGCTCTCAGACGTGATCCTCCCGGATAATGGCCTGCTCTATATGGCCGAAGACCTTCCCGTATTTGGGATTTGGGGAGATGCCTGAAGCATCTTCTAGCTCACACTGAAGCTGGGACTATGAGAGCAGATATGCCCCTACTTGTCACATTATCTCAACCCCGGATATCTAAATTCAATCCAACCTCATCACGACACGACCCCTCATGACTCTTGGCCTCCTCTAGAAGTTCCATCCTTTCTCCAATCAAAACATCTGATCTCAATTAACGTGTCTGACTTGGCGTGGCGTGGACTGGCGTTGGACTCGTGAATTTCTTGGCTATGTATATATGAAGCAAACTGGAACTTCTCATCAATACCACTCACCACACCATACATACATACAATACATACATACTTCATACCTCGTGTACATACAAACCTACAAACATATGACATACTACAAACCCCGATTAATAATATTCCATACCCCACATAGGTACTAGTGATCAATACAGTTCGCATACTAATATTCGTGTACCCCATCTCCAATCGTCACTCTAAGCCAGACAAATTCACCAGACTACAACATAACTAACTGATATAAGCAAACTACTACTACTAACCCCTGAACTCTATGAGAACAGTATATACTAGTACTAGAAATACATTACATGACGCATATTTTTCTCAATATCACAATCATTATTATTCTTCTCCATGACATCGTCCCATCCACAATCACTTTCCTCTTAGTTCAAACTCTACTTGAATAATATACTCGGTGGGTAGATAGTAGTAATCCACTACCTAGCCCTACTACATCACTATAGATGGTAGGTAAACACTATTATTGCTGGGTTGGATACTACTGAGTAACTACTTACCATGTGAATTACAGATGGATAATGACCTTTATTGATTGATTGAGATTGATTAATTAGTAAGTAGTTAACTCTGAACAAATTTTAATTCAATGAGTCTTTTATTGACTGTACTCAATGCATTGTCATCAGCTACTACCATACCACTTTTAATTGGGATACATGCTCAGTGAATCATTCTTTTCTACTACTACTACTACTTACATGATATTGTTTATAGTTTACTGTTTCAGGACGAATGTATAATTACTAACAAATAGTTCTTTATTAACTTACTCTCTTTGACAGGTACTTCAGATTCTGTTTCTCAGGTGATCGACGCATACTATGAGCCATCACCCTGATGATATATCATTACTATCATAGTAATCCGTGTATACCTGATACACCATCCAAGTGAAGCGAATACCGAGCGATACCGAGCAATACCAAACAACTGAATCGTACACTAGTAGTACTAATAATCCCTATTTTATCTGCTGAATCACGAGCTATATGTACCGTACATGTAATGCAAAGATTGCAAAGCAAGAAAGAAAATGCACATCGGGATCGAGCAGAAAGCGAAAAGGGAAAAAAGAAAAACGGAACGTATAACGGGGACAAGAGAGATAGATCATGTTCAGGAATTAATCGGAATGGAAGGTGAGCAGAAACGAATGCAACCCCTCCGGCCGAACGCAGAAAGAAGCGTGCAGCATGAGCATGAGGATCGAGTTGATAGGAAAGAAGTTGTCGGGCGGATGTGTTCTCTCACGGCAAGAAGACCGTAAGGTAATATAGGATACAAAGAAAACCAGGAAGCAGAAGAATGGGGGTGAGTTTCTGTCTTCCCAATATTACGTATTGATGGGATGGAAGCAGCGTCGAGGTAAGAGAGAGAAGAGAACATCAGAAAGAAATTCTAGATCGCTGAAGCTGCGTCATGTAAACAAGACTCGAGACATTGCTTCAGAACTCGCTGCGTGGGTCCATTGCGTCCGGCCATGACTAAGGTAAAGAGAGAGGGAGCTCTGATATACGCATTACAGCGTCAGGAGTGGCAGAAAAGAAAGCAAACCGCGGCATCATTTATGTATGATGTGCATGCCATTCCCGCCAGCAAGAAATAGCAAGCGACCATGTATAGTAAAGGAAAATCGTGTGTCGCCAAGTCACAGACTGATATATACAGGTTTGAATTAGAATCCAAACGGATTGGTAGGTGCTGGTAAGTTCCGTTAGCTTGACCCCAACCCAAAAGAGTAAAGAAATAGTTGAACTTACTGGCTTGTGCGAGATTGGCCCGGAGACCGGTCGGCTGGGGAGCGAGCTTCTTGGGAGGCTCGTTCTTAACACCAAACCGGACAGCAGGGGCGGGTCCTGTCTGCTGTGGCTGCAATGGTGCAGCCGTAGGTTGTTGCGGGATTGGCGGCACAGGAGGTGCGCTGTAAGGCATGCTGCCAACACCATTCATACCCGTAGGCTGGGGCTGCAGAGGCGGAGGCAGAACGGAATTGATGCCGGTTTGCATCGGCTGCTGGGGTTGCGGCTGGAAGCCCCCGAAGCCGGTAGGCTGTGGCACCAGACCCGGGTACCCAGCTTGCTGTTGCTGGATCCCGAACTGGGACTGCGGCTGAAAACCGGTGGGCTGCGGTGCCAGTCCATTCTGGAACTGAGCCTGAGGCATGAAACCAGTAGGCTGGGGGTGGAGAGTGGGCTGGAATCGCTGTTGGTTCAGTTCGGCCAGACTCTGTCCCGGCGGAGCAATCTGCGGTCCCGACTGAGGAATACCAGTCAGTTGAGGTTGCAATGGAGGCGGACCGAACGAGTTTGGCTGCTGAGGGAAGTTCTGGGGCGCGGAGAGGGGTCGCTGGGGCGGCGGAGGAAGCAAAGAGCTCTGCCCCATGTTCTGAGGCGGCTGGGGGCGTTGTCTTGAAGCCTGCTGGAAGCCCGTTGCTTGAGGACTGAACCCTTGGGCACCCGGTGCAGGCTGTTGCGCGGCTTGTGCCAACTGGGAGAAGAAGCCCGGCGTAGCCCCTGTCTGCTGTGGTTGCACTTGCGGTGCGGGCACCGCAGTGTGCTGGGGTTGAATGGTCGGCTGTGGCTGGAGAGCTGGCAAGGGCGCCGGCGGAGATTGCGGGGCAGGAGCCGCAGGCGTAGGCTGAAGAGGAGCTTGAAGCAAAGACAAGTCAGCCATCGCGCCTGCGAGGGGTTGCTGAGCCGGTGGTTGTGTCGTGGCGGGAGAGGACGCGGCCGGAGGGGGGCTTGAGGGAGTAGCTGGCGTCGAGGGAGCTGGAGCGGCGGCGGGAGTAGCAGGTTGCTTGGGCTGCTTCACCTCCCAGGCATCGTCGTCGAAGCCCTTCTGAACCGGAGGTTCGGAAGGTGCAGCAGTGGTGGGGGGTGTCGCGCTGCGCTCTGCAGGTTGCGAAGCATCCTTCTGCTCAAAGGCCTTAGGGTCGACCACATCGCCGGCTGGCGAGGTGGGAGTGGGCCGGCTTTTACGAGTGTTGTTGCGAAGGACACCTCCAGGGCCAGAAAAGATGCCGGCGGCACCCTCTTCGCCATTCCCGATGACCTCTTCGCCGCCAAAGCTTACGTTACGTAGCTTCGACTTGGCTCCGGTGCGGCCAAACATGTTGTCCAGGTAGCGCATCACTCGCAAAATATCGCCTTCCTTCAGACCGAGCGTGCGCAGCACCTCTGGCGTGATGTCCGGAAGCACGGCCTCGTCCATGGAGTCCTTGACAAAATTTTGGGCATACCGCTCGCATTGGTGCGGGCCAACGCCGGCCTTGAGGAAGAAGTCAAACCAATCATAGTCGGATTGCTGGAAAGAAGCTCCGGCGGTAGCTGAAGCACGTTTGCCCTCAGAGGGGGACCGGGCCTTTTCAGGCTCGGCACGTTGAGAACGGCGTCTGATGTCCGACAACGGCTTGTCCTCGTCGAGGGACACGCCTGTCATCTTCTCTACATACTCAAGATCCTCGACGGACATCTTCGGGATGGGAACCGCGATTTTGACACCGTTCATCTTGTGCAGATGAATCTTGCCATCCTGCAGGCCAATGAATTGTGCCTCGACAGTGAACGTCTTGGTGCGATCAGTCCATTGCCTTGTCTTGGCCGGATCCGGTTCTGCTTCCATTAGCAACGGACTCATTACTTGAGGGCAAACGTAATGACTTACTCGGCTTGTGGCTGCTCTTGCTATCGCGTTTCTGGCGTAAAATGGTCAGCATCACGTCTAGCAACTGACACTCTGGCTTTCGGGCGAGGTACATACCTGACCGTCAACTGAATCGGTCCGCGACTTGCGCAAAGCTTCCTTGGCTAGGCGCGCTTCCTCCATGCGATTCTTCTCTACAGTGGAAAGGCCCGGTTCGGAACTAATCACCGGAGTCCCGACCGTTCCGGTAATCTCAATGTAGCTACTTGGGACGACACCCTCCTTTCCGTTTTTCAAACGCCGCACCTGCCACCATTCTTCGGACTTGCCGTCATCCAGGACAATGACGTCGTCGCCCGCGGCCACCGTCACCTCATCGTCTCCTTGAGCCATAAAGTCGTAGAGAATCTGGCCCTTCTTCTGCCCTCCACTGGTACCAGCGGCAATGACCTCCTTCAGACCCTCTGCGCGATAGGCACCGGAAATTTCACCAAGGGCTGAGACAATTTCCCGAGCAGTGTCCTTGGCACCCGCGTGGAAATCAATGCTCTTGCTGGGCCGGACCAGATCCACAAAGACGTGCTTCCCTTCGATCGAATAATGGGTAAGCTTGTCTGCGGTCCATTCCTGCACATCACCGCCCTCCTCGGGCGAAATAAAGATGGTTCCGGTTGCGACATTGATACCCAAGGTTGTGGGCATCTTCTTGCGCTTGCCCATTACTTCCACCATCTCGTTGATGCTGTAGATATGGTAGCCGGAAGGGGAACGAGGGGTCGGTTGGCCGACTCTGCTGTATGGGGGCGATTCCTGCACATGACCACCGCGGTCGCTGTCGCGCACCGAAGAAACCTGAGAACGAGGAGGCCGAGAGGGCTCTGGGGGAGAATCCAGCGAGACTGGCGACGAGATCTGCTCGGACGGAGGACGCCGTGGTAACGCAGGCGGAGGTGGCGAGGGCTCGTTCCGGTAGGGCTCCTCCTCGGGCTCATCGTACGCTGGCCGTGCCGGCTGAGGGGGCGGGGGAACAGCCCTGGGTGGTTCCGGTTCTGTCGCAGCGGCATGCTGCTTGTGGATGATATCTGCGATGGCCGCGGCGGCAGGATTCTGCACGGCATCAATTGGAGAAGCTGCGCTGGTTCCGTTGACTTCTTCCTCCGTCACCGTCGGTCGCTGCGGGAGGGCGGGCGGCGCCGGTTCGGGTTCAGGTTCGGCGGGGGGAGGAGACGGGATGGCTGGTGCAGGGGCATGGTGCGCGCCTGCATCTTCGAGGATCTCGATGTAGTTCGCGGGGGCGAAGCCGTAATCGGAGTTGACACCGACCAGGGTCCAGTCCGGGTCGGAGGTATCATACACGATCAAGTCTGCATCTTCGGAAAAAGAGACCTCCTCATCCGTCTGGCGTGTATAGTCGTAGAGTGCTTTGGCCGAGTGTACTGGTTGAGCCTAAGTGTCCGACAAAAATTGCGTTAGCACAAGCGGTCTCAATCTGGTGACAAGACTTGCGGCGTTGCCGGTACCCCTGAGCGTGAGGTCCGGCCGCGGCGACCATACACCGGACGATGACGCATGCAAGCTTGAAGATATAGTCCGACTCTACGTCAAGAAA